TGGTATATACAAGGAATGGATGAACTATAATTTAAATTCAGAACTTCAGTGTACATGCCAAAATTTGACTCAGTTCCAATATACTAGTAGTTTTTATAGCATTTTTCATTGAATTTGTGGATATTAAATCTGACACCTAAATCATATAACACAATTATATAATTTATTGTTTAATATAATTAATGTCTTATATATATAAAAAATAGTATATTAACAAATTACTATCTGAGAAGAAATTGACAAATCACTAGCAGTTGCTTCAGATGTAACATTTTCCATGTACCATGTATATATTTTGTGGTAGATATATGTGATATAAAGAGTTTAGGTACTAACATCCAAATTTTTTGCTTTAAATTTGTATCTCCCCTAAAAGCATTATATTTTAAGTAATATCTATCATGTTAAATTTTTTTTAAATTTTGATTTTATTATACTGATTAAATAAAAGTTGTTTTAAGTTTAAGTATAGATTACTACAAATAAAATATTATTTAAATTATCTACTTTATTTATTTATTTACTTTTAAATATTTTCTAAATACATAATACAACAGCAAATCTAATCAAGTTAGTATTTTTAAAATCAATTTTTTGATTTTATTATTTATAATTCTCCTCACACCCCTTTAAAAAAAAATAACTCAATATTATATTTAATTATTGTTAATATTTTATATATGCCAACTGAATATATCATGATAACTAGTTTTGATTATATTGTTGGTATAGGTAGGTATTTAGAGTATTTAATATTGGAATTTGAAAGAAAAATTATTTTATTTGATCAATTTTAAAAATAAACATGATAAATACTTATAACATAATATTTCTAGATATTGTTTAACCAAAAAACCAAGTTACTTATATAATATTTAAAAAAAAAAAAATAAAAAAAATAATCTTTTAAACTCATTAGGTACCTATATCTAAATGTTATAATATTGATAAATTGTATGATCAATTTTATGTAACATATTATTTAATTTAGTTTTTAAGTTTAATAAGTAACCACACCATTTTTTATATTTTTCCTTAGTAAAGAGATTATTAATATAACAATGACCATATATATATATACAAATATTATACTGCAATAGATACTTACGGTATTCGTTACTATTATCCAAAAGACTTATTGCCGAGGATCAATATTCTGAAAGAAGCGAAGTATCTACATTTTCCATGCAACATTACACAATGAAAAAGCACGGCGTCCAAATCCAAATGCCACGCCTAGACGCCAATGCTAAATGATGTACTATCAGACGCCATGTTAGATGCCGGGCTCCACGTTTAGACGCTGCAGGAAAACAGTGTCGCCAAAATCAATTGTAATAGCGCGCAACCTTCGAATTCTCGTATTTTTCCTATAATTCTCGTAGCTTAAAAAAAATTTAACAATAATAATAATCACAACATAATAATTATATTAATAATATATCTAATAAGCAAAAAAACACTGATATACTTCACAAGTAGGTGCAGATACTGTTATAAGTGGGAAGTTGGGAAGGTAAGATACATACGGTAATTTAATAAACACATATAAGTATCGATAAACCATTGCTAATAAAAAAAAACGATTCTGAGCCGAATTCATCAATATATAGTTATATAGTCATATAGTAATATGGTATATATGTCATATGGTAAAATAATTGCATATTATACATTAAATATTTACTTTAATATTGTTTAATATTGATAATATCTATTTACTCGTTCTCCCGATTTTCTTTCGTTTTTTCTGGTTTTTCCAAAATATTGGGAAAACTCCAGAAGAAATCAAAAAATCACCCCCATTAAGTACTCCCCTCCCCCCAGTTAAAATTCCTTTTACAAAAAGTGGTATACATAAAAATCGGAGCAAGATTTCTAGTAGAAAAGGTTGTCCACAAAAAAAAAAAAAGAAATTAATAAAAAAGAGTTGATGATATGGTCAGGTGAGCTACTATTGTAAGTGGAAAGTCGGAAATGTAAAATATATCGTTATTAAATTTATACCTATAAGAAACGACTAACCATTGCTACGAAAACCGATTCGGAATGAAATTCGGTTAAATATATTTTTAAAGGCTGTAATATTTACAATTTTCGTCAAAATTTGATTTTAAAACTCTTATAAAAAAAACAACATTACATTTTAATTTTAACTACTAAGTATGACTTACTAAAGAATTTTCCGCCAAATTTTTGAATATTTCTATTTAGTCTAACAATTTGATCCACAGAGTACTTACCAAATAAAAATTAGGTACAAAATTCGAAAAATTAAAATATTTATAAATAGCTTAAAAGGTCAAATGTGTTTAAAATTTGTTCACCTCTAGAACAAGCAAATTTAATTACCTAACCATAATACAAGTCTTTGTGAATATTTTTAACTGAATTACAACAAAAAAGCAAAAATTAAAATAATAAAAGAACTATTTTTGTAAATTTGTCCGTTCTTTCTACGTTTTGTTTTGGTTTTGCTCAATTATTAAAAAATCACTCGGAAAATCAAAAAACGACTTTCTGACTCACCAACAAGATTAAAAATTGGAGCAATATTGGCGTGCCGTAAGCATTTCCCGTTTTACCTGATTTTCTTTCCGATTTTTCCTAATTATTTTTGAAACCTCCTTACCAGATTACTTAGCAACTTAATTCAACTCAAAATCATTTTTTGACTGTAATGATTTATTGTTGCTTGTTGTATATGAACTAAATTGCTTTATTCCCTATAACTTTGGAATTTCATACCTATTGTTTATAAAAATGCAGCATATAAGCGTAATTTTTTGCTTCATATTATTCATAATATCATAGATTAATATTAATACTAGATATCTTACTAGTATTACAGGCAAAATAGAAACCCGTGATTTAATAGAGCACATATTAGAGCACACGTATCATAAATAGAGCACACGGTCGTAATCTCCAAAAATTAATTTGAATAAAAACTAAATAAAATAATACAATTTCCACTAACATTATTAACATTTGTAATATTACTATTATTATTAGATGCACAGAGATAATGGCCGATATTGAGTTTTCCTACATGTTTTTTTTGAAAAAAATACCTATAACTTTAAATATTTTTCTAATTTTTCTAATGAAATATATTCTAATTTATTCTAAGTAACAACCTCCCTGAATGCGAATTCGCTGCAAAGTGAATTCATAACTAATTTATTAATTTTTTATGTAAAATGAAATTTAAATAGTGGTTTGTTGTAGTTCTGGACGACTTTTTTTTTCTGTCGAAAACCCTACACGCAGCAACTACGAAGCTCCACCAACTTTTTTTGACAATCTCTCTCGAATAGCTAACTCCGACTTTTAGCAGCTATAATCACTCGTGTTGGATTTTTTTATTAATTTATTTATAATTCAACCTTTTGTTTTCCTAATTTAAAGATTTGCATTTTTTTATCTGAGTGCACACAGGTGCAAAATGTTAATTAATTAAATTAGTTTATTTCAATTGAATTTTGATTACCGTCCAACGACTTCAGGATTACGTGAAGATATCTACAGGTGTACACCCTACCGGTCCAACACCGTGGACAATTAAAATAATTATATTTTTCTTTATTTATTTATCTCGTCACTACTCTCGGATTCACGACTCCGCGTGCCCTTTAAACATCGGAAGGAAGGTAGTAATATAATTAGTAGACTAAACTTTTATTATATTTAAAAATAAATCATTCTTTGTAGTACCAAAAACTAAACCAATTATTTTATATTATATAGGTATATTTTTACACCTATTCTTCTATCTTATTCTTTGTAGGTACTTCTACATAGTAGCTTATTATTTTAATTTTCTTTGTTTTCAATTACTACATATACTAACTAAGATATTATTTTAAATTTTCTTATTTTTTGTATTATTACATATTCAAGGGGTGACATGGGACAGCCTGAATATAACTAGTACCTTAACTATTATGGAAAATAAATTAAACAAAATGATTTACAAATGAAACCTATGTATTAATCTTATTAATCTTCTTTATTATTGAATGTAATTTATCATATCATTATTGTATTTTTTGAAATCACAAAACTATTTAATTAGGTTTTCTAAAATCAATTATTTTCTTTTGTTGAATTATGTAAAAAATGTTAAAAAATGTTTTAGGTTACAAGTACTTAACTACTATCTAGAACCTATGATAATATTGCCTAGATGTTATCATTCATAAAGTTAAATTTGAAATTTGTTCTGTTTTCATTTAATGTTCAAAATGTAATAACAATATTATGTTAATACAATTTGAAGGAAACTTTCACTGATGTATAGAAAGACATGCAGTCTTCTTCTTTCACACTTTTGGAATATTCAAATCTACTTCATAAGTTGGCTTTGTTTAGCATTCAATTCAGCCTATATTTTCAAACTCTCATTTACACATTCAAAAACTATATAACGAAAAATGCCTGATGACAAAGAATTTCTCGGAATTGGTTGTCGATTCATATAGAAAATAATGAATTAAAATCAATATTGTATAGCATTTAATAATTATCAGACCTTTTTTATAAATGGATATACAAATTTCAAACACATGCACGTGGCTGTTAAAAAACATGATGATAGTAGTTCTCATAACTTTTCTGTTAAAAATTATACTCAAGCCTCATCCGAACAATATATTGAATTTAAAAAGGATTATCGATTATCTTAAAAGTACATCAACTTTAATGATAAGTATGTGAACGTAAATTTTAATATTTGCCAAATTGTAATAACTTAATAACATTATGTTCTAATAAACTTTTTTGTCTTATAACATGACTTACTTATATTACTTCTATTTCTGAATTTTAGATTTTATTAACATATAAACTAAGTACATAGGTATTATAAAGACAACTGATAATTTTCATAAATTATGTATAAAAGTTGTTGTGCCGTTCATATTTTTCTCTACCTGGGCTGAAGTACTCCCAGTCCGCCCCTGTTTAATACTGTATCTATTTACCGTTTTTCCCAGTTTCCCGTGTTTTTTTCCCGGTTTTTTCTAGATATTATGAAAACCACACTTGGAAAACCAAAAAATGACTAACCTAAAGTACCATGTAGAAAAAATTTCTTTTCAGAAAATGTATTAAACTTGATACATTAGAGCAAGATTTCTGGTAGAAAAGTTCGCACAACAAATCTAGGGATATTTTTCGATTGAAATAGTCCGAGTAAGCGATGGTTTAGATTAGGTTTCCTAGTGTCTCTAGGTACACCCAAAAAACAAATGCAAACAATTTTTTTTCGAAACATGAAATTGAATTCGTGATCTCTAGGATGACGTACAACCATTAGACTACGACAAACATACTTTAAAATTGGCAATATAGAGTTATTTAACATAACATAAAATAATATGAGAACTTCAAAAAGGTGACTTCACTGTCGTTGTTAAATTGACAATATGTATACATATGTTCAAAAAAAAAAAAAGAATTGAAAAATTAGATTTGTTCCACATAATTTTTTACTCAAACGATTTCGTCGAAATTTGATATTAAAATTCCTCAATAAAAAAAAATACTACATCAAGCTCAAATATTATTTTTTACCATAAAATGGGAATTTTAACGAACATCCTGTTTACCACAGAGTACAGACCGAATAACAATTACATACAAAACATTAAAATGTCTATAAAATAGCTTAAAAATGGCTAATATTTTTGAAAACTTGACTACGTCTAAAAAGGCAAATATAAGTTTTGTGTCTACATTTCAAGTCCATAAAGTGTATATGAATATTTTAACTGAATAAAACTAACAATAAATAACAAAACTAAATAAAACTGAAACTGGGGTGTAGTCACTGTTGTAGATGGGAAGATGGGTAGGTAGGACACATAGGGTTATTTTATTTATGTTTCTAAGCAACGATAAACCATTGCTCGACGAAAGACGATTCCGAGCGCAGTTTTACGATTTTCGTTTAAATTTGATTTCAAAATAATTATTAAAAAACAAAAAAATGGTTCGATGACTTTGAAATTTTACTACATCTAGATAAGTCCAATATAAGTATTATTCCCAGGTTACAAGTCTCAACGTGTATTTATAACAGAATTACAGCGAAAAACTCCCAAAAATTAAAATTCCTTAAAAGCTCAAAAGTGGTCTAAAAGTTTTGGCAACGATACTGTAAGAAAGTAAATTACAAAGGCAACAAAAAAATTATTTTGTGATTTTTCGATTAAATTATTTTTTCTGATAGAAAACGTCGTCAGTGTTTTGATAAAATAATAAAATCATGAAATTATATGTTTTCCTACGTGTTTTCCCACTTAAGTGCTTTTATTTAAAAAATGGCGTCGAAAATTAAAAAATGACCTTTCTAGAGTACCATCTTGACAAAAAACTTGAGCTTTCAGAAAAGTTACTACACGTGAAAATTGGAGCAAGTTTACTTGGAAAAAACTTGTCGACAGACTAGAAAAAAAAGAAATAAACATCTTAGTAAAACCAATAAATTTCTCGCTCCACTTAGAATCTAAAATATGCATTATAGTGTTGCAACTTTACTATAGAAAATTTGTTATCTTACTTTAACTTAGAATTTGAGAGCACATGCTATTATCAATTCCCTACTACATTTAGAGCAGAGTACACTTTATCGTCCATAAAGGTGATTTTGTTAAATAATGGGACGCACAAGCCAATAAGACAAATAATTATAAAAATTTTCAGACATTATTCGTCTACATTCGGAACATAAAGTATTCGAGTTATCTATAGTTTTTCTTTCGAGTAATCAATTTTTTCGCAAAGGAACGGCATTTATTTCAACTTATTAAGGTTTTTCACCTATCGAGGTTCGACTTATCGAGGATCTACTATAATTTAGAAAATTCAATGTCAATAGCTAGAAGTGAAAAATTATTCCCTAAATCTCCAGAAAAAGAACTTGATGGCAACTATGAGAACACAAAATATACTAAAATAAGTCAAATGAGAAGATCTTCGTCATGTTTATTAGACAGCATTAACAATACGATACAACCTGATAGTCTCAAACAAAAAATTTGTATCATGTTCTTTTGACAGCATTGACATATTAAAATAAAAAGAAAATTGAACGGGCTTAAAAAAATACCAAACAGGCCATTTGCACAAAAAAAAAAAAATAAAATTATAAAATCAACCAAGTGATTTGATATACTTGGTTGATAATATGTAAATAAATATCAAATACAATTTTGACACCATCTAGTGGTTACATTTATTTTGTCGTTATCTAAAATATGGGTAGACCATATTATTATATTATATTTATAACTATTGCTATGGAATCAAGAATAAGACTTGACAAATTTCCAAAATTTACATCATGAGACATTGTAGAATACATTTTGAAAAAAAAATAGATAAATTATTATTAAATTGCTGTATTTTCACTTGATATAAATATGTTCTCATGAGTCATAACTACGTTTTTTCGATAAGAGCAATATATCTGATAAAAAACATAAACCATAAAAATTTAAAATAATGAAATCAAACACTTTGAATTTATCAATTTTTACTTTTACGTCTTTTTCTGGTTTTTCCCAACTATTATGAAACTGCTTGGAATATCAAAAAACGACTTAATTACTCATAAACTAGATACAAAATTCTACAAAAATAGACTCGTGTCATTTTTTTGATTAAATCAAGATTTCTATTAGAAAACATAATGCGTATAAATTGAAGAAACGATGAAATGGACAATGCAGCTTTAAATATTTGTCTGCTTTTCCGATAATTACTTTTTTCCGGTTTTTCCAATTGTTATTAAAACCCTTAAGAAAATCAAAAAAAATTCCTCCTCCCCACTCCCATTGCATCAACAACAACCGAAATGCGACAAAAAAAAATCTCTTATGTCATTTTTCGATTGGAGTATGTTTTTTGGTCGAAAAACTTTTCGATCAAATCATAAAAAAAAAAATAATAATAAACAACACACGTTATGGTAAAAGTGTAAAACCAATTAGATCCCTCATTCCGCTCCGAATCTAAAATGTAGACACGCATATGCCTACCTTTACCAAAAGAATATCACTACGTGTAAATAATGACCATTTCAAAAGGCGTGTGCACGGGGAAACGAAAACAAAACAAAGAATAATTGTATTTTATACAATGGTATAGACGCAATATTTTTAGTAAAATAACTATAAAAAAAAAAACTGGAACGGTGATATGAACGCAAGGACCGTAACAACAAATGACCGCAAGTTCGTAATAATACTAAATAGGAGCAATAAAATGTATAATCATATAGAACGCTGACATTAATAATAATAATAATGATAATTGTATAATTATAGACATTATGGTATAATTTCAACCGTAATGATACCACAAAAAAAAAATAAATAGTTTTAAATAAAATATTGTTATACTAATACAAAATATTTAAAAGTGAAATTAATATAATCATAATATTGCAATTAATAATCAACGTTTTTTCGTTGTTGTACGTTTAACATTGACAAACTTAAAATAATAATATTAAACAATTAAAAATAAAATGGTTTTCAACAATAAATTAAATGTATACTAATGTATAATGTATTTTAGCAACGCTCTTTATTAGCATTCAAAATGTAACTGTTTATGAAAATATAAACATAGCCAAAAAAATACATGATTATATAAATTTAAAAAATCGTCGAACATTGGTAAATAATACAAAAACGCACTTTTTTCACGATTAAAAATCTTATCTGCTAAAATGATGTTATATATAAATTGAAATAAAAAAAAGTTAATATAGTAAAAAATATGAAATATAAACAGTTTAAATAGTTTCAAGTAAAACTAGTATACAAAGAGAAAAATAATTACGGAAAAAATGATAATAAAATTATTTACACATATTATAATCATGTGAAATTGATGTATGCAAAGTTAACTTAGAAGTATTGTCATGATAATACAATACCGAACGCGTATAATGTAAAACAATTGGTCGTTTTTTATTTTGGCACTTCGGCTATCAAGAACGCTGATTCCGGGCCAGGTCCTATGGTAGTAGTTCCTATAGAGGTGCTGTTTGCACCATGTACACTTGCACCTTCGGCACCAGCTCCGTAAAACGCTATAATGTCAACAAGCGAGGCGTATGTTCCAGACACCAAAGCAATCAAAGCGATCATGACGATTGCCACATCTTTGGTAGCGGTCCAATAACTCATGCCTTTCCTCCTGCGAGTCGACCGGCCACTGCTCCTTCTCCTCTGTTGTTGCCTTGGCACTCCGTCTAGATCTGTGTCGTCGTCCACAGCATAGTAGTCACCATCAAAGTCCAGATCGTCTTCGGAGTCTGAGTTTTCGTAGTCTTCGCCATTCTCGTCGTCGTGCTCCCAAAACGCAAACAAGTGGATCATAGCAGGACACATCAAACCCAGAATTGAAAAGAACACTGCGCCGATGAGCGAAATGAAAGGCGCCAGATCGGGTACAAGCGCAGCTATAAATACTGAAAAAATACACATAAGACCGTATAAATAATGTATATAATCATAATAATGATAAACATATTATATAATAATAAAAAAACAAATGTTCACTCTTCTTCACCGCCACCCACTCGTGGTTATGTTTGTTGATAGTCCTTTGGTGTCTCACTATTGATGATAATAGAGGTAATGGTGAGTGTCAGTGTCAGTGGGTAGTAAACATTTATTTCTAATATATTGATGAACTCCAGACCTCTCTAGAAAGTTTCAGCACTTTTTTAAAAGTTCCACAATATTCTAGAATTGTCTATGCTGAGGCCCTCAAATAAAACAGTGTTCTGCGTATGTGACTGGCGGTCGTAGTATAGAGAGGAAATAACCAATGCGCACTAATAAACAAGTTTTCGACGCAATTCGTTACGCGTACACCGTATTTTATCAAGAAACAAAATAAATTGTAGTGAACACATTTTGTTTTTGTGTTAATTTTTTTTTTAATTAACATTTAATTCAAGTAAGTAAGTATAGTTTATTTTTCAAATATAATATAAAAACAATATACGGGGAAGTTATTTGCATGGGATAAAAAACAATGTTTCCCAGCCTAATATGCGGATCATTTCGCTCGCCAACCCGAATGCGAGTAAATGCCAACTCGTACCGGACTTTTATTTGAAAATAAATCCCAATTTATGGCAATAAAATATTTCAGAAACCAATGATTATTATCATCATTTTTATTTTCCCGTCCATGCTTTGGAGGTGCCTCTAAGGCAATGGTTTTTAAACTAGATGCCACGAGCATTTATTAGCATTCACTTTAGAATTTATTTTCCTTTAATTGTGACGGACTACCGGTTACGGTAATCAGCTCTTTTAGTATGAAGTCATAACTCTTTTAATTATGATTCGTTTAAATATGACTCATCAATTTGTGTTATTAGTTCTAATTGTTTTCAAAAATTAAACAATGACAAAAAAAAGGTCAGTGTGCAGTGAAAATTGTGGAAAAGACTATGTGTCGTGGTCAAAAAAAGTTTGAAAACCACTGCTCTAAGGAGACTATTTTGGAACCCAGTGTCAGCGTATTTTTTTGTTCAAAAATATGCTTTACTGGAAAAACTCTCATGCCTTGTAAAAAGGGCTGATTTCGAAGATCATTTTTTTTTCGTTGGAAAGTTAAAGACGTCCTACAGCTTGCATTGAACTCCCTTTTTCAATTTTTTTTATTTATCGAGTGAATACAAAACGGCAGAAACATAATATTAAGTCAACAATAAGTAATCCCGATTCTTAAAAAATTCATTTTTGACCGTAAAATCGGCACTACTCCTTCCCCTTCTAAACATCCGGTATTAGATAGTAGATCAGTGGAAAACCCATATCTTTAAAGTAGTAATTGTAATGTTAAAAATTATATTAACATTTTTTAAAATTGGAACAAATTTGAGAATCCGCACTGGACCCTTTAACTAATGAACAATAGTACTTTATTATATCGTGGTCTACACTAATATAGTATCAATATTGTTGTAATGTCGAAAATTTGAATATGGCGGGAAAATGCATGACATTACACCAAATAAATGCGTACCGTGATAGTGAATTTTGGTTATCTAGCTGAAATGCCTATCTATTTAGCTGTGGTTCAGAATCATAGACCTTATGTCAATATACGGGACATACTACAATAGTACTCGCGGTCACGCTGCTCAAGGTTGTATCGGTAAGTCGGTTACACCGCACATGCCCACAAGGACTGTACAATATAATTAATTATGTTCCATCATTTTTTATTTTTTTCAATTATTTCTAAGTACGCATTATTCCTTTGCTTAATTGATATTAATATATCAAATTTAAACGAAAATCGCAAACTGCGCTCGGTTTGATTATGTATCCTACCCACCCGAATTCTCACTTATAACAGTGGCCACTCTCATGCGTAGAATCGGCTCTTTTTTTTTTTTGTAGATTTTTTTGATCGAATGAATTTGACTATACTAGTTTAGAAACGAGGAAGAATTTCTCGACAAAAAAAAAAGTCATCCGATGATAATAAATGATGTATGGCTACTGTACCGGTGCCCAAGATCATCGCGCCTCGCATCACATAGTACGCCCCGTCCATAGGTTTTTCCAACTCTTCCAATTCCATTTCTAACTGTTTCTTCTCGTCTATGGACATGTTATTCGTCGCCGACAAACCCGTGACCGTCGTCATCGTGTTGCCCGCGATCGTGCTTACGACCGCCGGGGACCCGTCCTTGTTGGCGGTGTATTTGCTGTGTTGCCGACGTTTGAGCAGCCACGGTTCCAACCGGGACCACACTATCTCGCTGGGAACGCAAAATTGCAGACCGTACGAAAACAGTATGGACAGCGCCACCATAATTTTCACTGCCTCGGCAAACCTACAAGATTATTTTATGTATACAAGAGACATGATTAGTACACGACGTTTTATGGTTTTTTTTAAAAAATATTTTCATTCACGTTGCGTGATTATAATATTAGTATTATGTCGTGTGTACACGTACAAATCGTTGGGCAAATTGAGCGTGATTGAGCCGTCGGTAGCGTCGCCGAATCGCAAATAGCCCAGAAATCCGGCTATCGAGTACAAGCACACTACCAGCGTCATGGCGGCGTTCAACACTCCACAAGGGCGAGCTTTAAGGAACCGTTGAGGATGTTTCATCGAGTTCTCGATCGGGAGCACCTGAAACCCGAAACACCGTCGATTCGTCAATATATAAAAACAATGGCATACCTCCGCCCCACCCCCATATGGTTTATTTCTAACTTCATTTTTTAAGAATAATTATTCCGGTAAAACTTTTTCAATTAAATCGGGAATTGATCGATAAGACCTCGAAGGATTGGTAACACCGCTTTTTATCCGTTATAGGTCGTCGGACAACGATATAGTATCTATAATCATGATCCAAACATCCCGATAATTCCGATTTATCATTATTTTGAGATCGTACTTACGGTGCCGATGCCCTCCATAGCGAATAGCACTGTGGCGAAAAACAGGGGCATGTGACCGACGGGAGCAATCCACGGACGCGAACTGATCTCCGGTAGCGGTACGGCAGCCGCCAGTGATCCGCTGCCGGCAAACAGGCTGGCGCCCGTCACCACCCATGACATGGTGCACCCTAAGCCGACCAGTATGAACGCCGTGGCTATGGCCGAGAAAGGAACCAACAGCCTGAGCGTGCGTATGATGCCAAGCGGAACGAGCGGCACGGCGAGGCCCAGGATCCAGGCGCGGACCGGTAAATGCCACTCCGGGGGCGTATGTGAATCGGCCACCTGGAAAACAACAAAGAATGGGCAAGAAATGTTGACTCGATTAGAAAGAAAAATAAAAAAAAATGTTAATTTGTTTTGTTTGTGTTGCAAACAATGAACGGACAAAATATTCAATAAAAAGTAATATTCATGTTTAATGAAAAATAAACCAACTCGAACGGTAAATATCGTAATAGATAAATCGCAGTACTGAGAACAGCCGGTAAAAATTGTAATACCATTCGTCTTCGACTTGTTATGGTTTAACTGAATTTCAATGAAAGTTAACTGTAAAAAGTTAATTTTATATCACGAAAGTTTAAATTAAATAGTTGAGTTCACGATAAAAATAATAAACTAGTTGAGCTCGGGTTTGAAAACAAATAATTGTTTAACTTGACTTGGACTTGTTATCATTAGTTAACGCCGACCATCGGTCGGCAAAGCGATGCCAACACAGACTACACAGAGTTACACGCGATGTATATTGCGATATACATACCTGCTTGAACGATGCTGCAACAAGTACGACGTACACGGTATTGCCGAAATAGTACGTGCAAAACAATGCGGCGTTGACGAATTCCCTTCGTTGTGTGATTTGTTGGTTTAGCGGCGTACCGAAAACATAAAAAATAAAAGATATGAATACAATATCAATGTTATCAAGTTTGTAAACATTAGCTGTAAAAACGTACTATATTGGTTTTACTAATGATCATTTTTTTTTTTTTCATTACATTTCCATTGCGGGTTAATGGTTTTTTGTATGGTTATCAACTTAATCCGTTTTGATATTATGTTATTGTTCTAATTTTCAATAACTGATTTTTAAAAACTGCCTCTGAAACGTTTTTCTGATGCGTACGTCTCTAGTCTCGTTCCGATCGTCAATTTTTTTTTTTTTCTTTAGTTTTGATTCGGCAATACGTTATGGCAGTGAGTAAAAAAGCCGATAAATAAATAGGAAGAAAATCTATTTTCGCTGAACAGTATTTAATCCGACAGTACTTTATCCGAAATTAATTTTTCCAAAAATATTACAGCCGACCGTTAACTAAGCCGAACACTTAATAATGTGTGATTATCGCTGGTTACACAACCAGAGATATGAATAATACGGCCGCGACCGGCTTGTAGTTGTCAGGTTAAAATTTAAGTGAAATAATACGTTTAATACGTTAATTACGTTAGGTAATATGTATTTCTACCTCAGAAAATATTCAAGACTCGGTTGTTTAATTATGTTTGTTTGTTCAAAGTTTACGAATTATAACTGCATCAGCATTCAACAGTCTTTCAAAACAATGATAAGAAATTTACGAATTGATAATCAGTAGAATTTTGGCTGAAATACAATAGGTAGTAACATTTTTGGATTCTTTATAGTCCCTTCTCCTTCTGTTATACATGCAGTATACAACAATTTTATTATTGTTTTCGGTTGTTATCGTTGCTTACAAATATAAATTTAATAATTTTATGTATCCTACCTCCCTTATTCCACACCTACAATATTGGCACACCCGTCTTCAGTGGCAGTTTTTGAATTTTTTCTGGGAGGATCCTTTGATAATAACTTACAATATATTTAACATACACAAGATATTTACCCAATATTGATTAATTTATTTTAATTGACTTACATATTATTTTTTTACTTATATTTACATGAATGTAGATGTACCTATGTATTAATCAACAACAAAGTTTGAGTTTGATTTAAAAATAACAAAACAAAACCTAATTTATGTAATCCAAACTTAGAGTGTGGGGTCTTGGATCGGCCCCTCCATAAAAACTCCACTACCTAACCCTAGTATCAGGTTTTAGATTCTGAGCGTAGCAATGAGGAATGTATTGGTTTTACAATAATATTAATTTTTTTTTCTGTGGACAATTTTTCTCCAATTCGCAATTATAGCATTTTTTTCTGAAAAAAATCTGACTGGGGTGGAACATTAATTTTTCCCAATAAATGCGAAAAAAGGAAGTCACAATATTTAAAAAATATTATTAAAGAAATTATAAAATATTGCATACGTAATTATTTTACCATAATATGACATATATAATATTTATTGTTGAAAAAGCCACACAATTAACTCCGTTCAGAATCGTTTTTCGTTAACAACGGTTAATCATTGCGTACAGATATACATTGGATTACCTCTCTACCTTCCGAACTTCTCATCTACTGTAGGCACTATTATAACATTAGTGGCCCACCAACCGTGCGAAGTATGAACACGGGTTTGTTTTTTATTTATTATTATTATTTTTTTTTTTCTGGAATGCCTACTTAATTTCGATTAACCTGACAATGGAATGCATTCATTATGAAAATGAGTAATGACGAATGTGGAATGCATTACTTTTCAAAAAGAATCGCCTAAACACGTGGTATAATTGCGTAACGTAATGTTATTGAATTTGGTAACAGAAACGAGACCAGAATAATAATTATTATTTTTAAAATAATTTATTGCAATCAAACGAACGCGCAACGTATTCATTTTGTTGTGGGTGTTAGTTTTGTAAGCGTTCCATACCTGGCAAACGGAGCCCAGGCGCGGAACCGACGTGGACCGGTACTAAATGCAGCGGCGGCTGTATCGGCGAAGCCCAGAGCCGGACGACGCGTACGCCGAGCTAGAGCTTGAGAGCAGAGTACCTATAAAATAAAACGGTTACGGACATTGTTAATTAAAAACATGTTACGGTTAGGTTAGGTTTGACAGTACATTTTTACATTTCCGGCCTTTTCTAAATAATCGGTAGATTTAACCTACTTATTATACAGTACCACAGTTCTTAAACTATGGTCCGCGGCCCCCTGGAAGTCCGCGATGGCTCTATCGGTAAATATTGATTACGATAACATGAGATATTTTGTAAAATAAAAAAAAAAAAAAAAGGTGTTGGTAGGGGGTCCGCGATTTCTAAAAATCTTTCATCGTGTGCACCAAAGTTTAAGAACCGCTGATATAGTATAATAATATACAGCTGGGATGGTTCACTGAGCGTGTTCAACCTATTTTTTCGGTTAGATTTTGCATGTATTCAAATTCAGATGTCTTATTCAGATTTAGGAATTTTTATGGGTGATAGTTAAAGCCGATATTTTCGAATAATTGGATTTTTCACAACATTTAAGGAGTATCCTGTGGCGATACCGACTTTGGTTTTTCAAATGAGAACCGGAATAGTGGAGCACTAATAAAATGTTGCGCGCCGTGCCACCACACGAATGATACTTCTCTACTATCTAACCCTACCTAAACTCAAAAGTAAAATATCTCGTTAACGGATTCACGGAAATCAAACATTTTGATACCAACAATTATTTAAAGTAATACTATCCGTCTATATATGCAATTTTTAATATAGGTTCACGTTTGAAAAATCATAGCTGGTATCGCTACAGGATACTCCTTAAACGCTATGAAAATTCTAAGTGTTGGAAAATATCGTTTTTAACCACCCATAAAAATTCCAAAAATCAGAATTTGAATGTAATATGTAAAATTTTACCAAACAAATGGGAATAGTACGCTTAGTGAATCATCTTGTACGATATATATTATATACGTATGTACTTATATAAGACCGTGAACCGTTTATGTTAGCGTATCACAAACAAAAAAGTCAACGTACAATACGTACCGAACAGTGGCGTGGGCGTTTATATTATACCAATGTGTAAGCGTTGCTTACATTTTCAGTTATTTTAAATATTATAGGTAGTTATATTTTTAAATGAACAATTCAAGCCGTGATCAAATTCTAACATCAAATTATACATGTGCGTTTCGGAGTTTTGAAACGATGAATAAGGAGATGCATTTATAAGCCAATTTTTAAATTTGTCACACGACCAATCGTCGTGATTATATCAATAGCATGGTGCTAATATATTATACTATACTATTAGCGTTGGTGCGACCCCATACGACAATGCCATATTGGAACTCTGATCAGACGTATTCGCACATTGACTTCAAACAGTTCAAAATATTATTATTACTCGATAGTGTAGGTTAGTGTTGCTTACGGTATACTGACTACATCACGCCACGCCACCGGTACCGGATTGGGCCAAGGGAAATAATAATAATCGTGACGTAATAAAAGTGTTATTTTACTCACCAGCAGGTAAATGCAATGGGTGCATAACGCACCGATAGCCGCGGTGCCGACGAGTCCGAAAATGAGCCCGCCGTTTTTGAACGCATTCGGCATAGCCAGAATACCGGAACCAAGGCTGCTCTTTATTAAATGCAATAAGGCGCCGCTGTCGCTGCAATGGTCAAAGGGAAACAGAGGGGAAACAAAATGATTCAAACGCACATATTATAGCAGTTATAATGTTAAAATAGTATAGGCATATCTTCGCCGTCGAAGCAAAAAGTCACCAAGTGTGTGAAAAACGCGTTCAAATACATTTCTCACGTTCCATTCATGGAACAAAAATGTGTCCCAGCGATATCATAAACATAACCGCGTGAAATCATAATAATTTTCGTTTAAATCAATACAAAAAACGCGAATAAATAAATTACACGCAAATACCAATATAGTAAATCATATGAGAATAAGGACCAAACGTTTTAATTGTTATTATAATATTTACTGTGCATACAACCGATAAGATATATTTTGACAATATCGTCTAAAACGATCGCAAACAAATAAATAACGTTCAAACTTGATAGAAGAAAAAAAATATTTCTGAAATACTTATTTCACACTCTAAAAGAGTTGTTTCGTGAAATAAAACTAATGTTAAAATTAAAAATTAAAAATATAGGTTACTTACTATTTTTGTTTTTCTTTTAATATATTTCCTAAAAAGAAGATCAGTGAAAAATAAAAATAATAATTATAATAAATAACAACTTTATAATATTATAGTTTTAGTCGAAATTAAATTACTGTCACACATTTAAATTGAACATTGCTATTAGGTGTATGGGTATTCATTCCAATTCTAGAGGTTTTTTTTTTTTTTTTTATCCAATAATACTCGATAAAAGCTATCTGCTTGTACACTACCGATATTTTTCTTTTAATATTGTAACATTAGGCGGACGTATATCGGTTGGTCGGTCTGAAGTATTTTAGATAAAATCGATGGAATACTTTTTAAGTATACGGATCCTCGTATTAACGCTTTAAGAAAAATAATTACTAGATATTGTATTTAAAATATTTTTCGAAAGTATTTGAAATTTAATTTTTTTTTCTACAAATTCTTTTATAATTATTAAAAACTCTGTCCAGTATATTTTAAATCTGAACAAACAGTATTGCGCTAAACTGTTACAACGTAGGTAAGTTACGAAAAACGTTTCATTTTCACGAATATATTGATTTTAATTTTATAATAATCGCCGTTCAGACGGACAAATTTAGCAGTGTCTAGACGCCGTTGCCCATTATCTAAATCTCACAGCTATAGGTACAATTTACTCGGCATTATAAAGGTAATTTATCCATTTGTCCGTTCCTCTCAACGATCAATGTGGCGTGGATTTAAAATTTAATGTTTGGACTGTAAAATTATTAATTATTAAGCATCTGTGTTAATTAATTAAATTAACAGCCTGTGTATATGTACCATATACCTATGCGTTAAGGTTAAAAACGTTTGTAAGTATAGTTTATACGGCTTTAAGTTACATGTAAAACCTTGGATTGAACAGCGACCGATTCTTCCAATTATCTGCGTGTAATTTATTACTCGGTGTCGTGTCAACGACTCTATGGGATATTATATTTGCAAAAAAAAAAATATATATATATTTCTAAATATTTTTGAAAAGTATCTGTATTTATAATGGAATGTAACTTATTCGAAGTTCCCTTTTTGCCTGTCGAGTTCTATAATAATATTGTGTACAGAATGTCCCGACGGTGTTCGACGGATTTTTCTCGAGCGGTATATATTCGATTTGTTTCTCTGCATATTTTTAATGCTATTCAATCTGCTTTTCTACAGTTCTAGATAAATTAAATGTTTATTTCCATCCCCTGTATATTACTGCAAAACTATAATGATCGATTATGACACGTTAAAACGTCGAGAATAACATCGTTTACAAACCGTTGACCGTTTTGAACGTTTTGTTAAAGTTGTTATTAGGGCTAGGGACATTATGCACTTAAAATCCGCAAAAAAGCGATTAAAAACGACAAAAAAAAAACACGATAATGTGCTTAGAAAAATAAAAAAAATGGTATTATGTTTTTAAAAAACCCACCCTCCAACGGCTCTGGCTTATAAAATACAATTTCCGCACTCTACAAAAATGATTAACACAAGTTTTTTTGAATAAAATCGTAAAGTATTAAAAAAAAATGTAATTTTTGATTGTATAAAAAAAAAAATTTGCCCGAGTTCTTTTAGCGTTTTTAAGCGCTTTTCTGCAGATTCTAAACACCCGGGTTATTATTGTATTTTATTTTTTTCAGTCACAAGCCTGTACGACCATAATTAACGGCTCGAGAAGACATCCGTCAAACACCGGCGAGACACCCCCCCCGCAAGTATTTGGCCGTTATGTATGTAACGTCACAGCACCGTCGCGGGTCATATTGTCACTCACGTAGTCGCCTTTGATTTGTCGCGCATTTGGAACGGGTCGTATCGCGGCTGCTTTTTCCCGGTCTTCCGGCGACGGCCGGCCTTGTTGGTGCCGTTGCCGGCCACGGTCCCGTTACCGCCGGCCGAGACGGAATACGCCGCGGACGCCGGAGTCCCGTCCACGCTGCTACTGCCGTTGCTGCCGCTGCTCGAATACTCGGACAGTTTCATTCTGTTGCGGTCGCGGTTGTTGTTGTTGTTGTTGTGGTTGTGGTAGTGGTGTTGGTGTTGGCGGCGGTGGTGGTTGTTGTTTGCAACGGTGACGGCGATAAAGCGCGACGATACGCATTGGCACGCGTAAGTACGGTGAGATAACGTGCCGGTCGGGTCCGCGGAACGTTAACGCACGAAGAACGACGAGCAAAGAATGAATATCGTAGCCCGTGTCGCACAAAGACGTTGATGTCGTCGTAGGTATATTAAAATATACGATCACGAGTAGTAGGGTTTGGACGACGTCGGTTTGCGGCGGATTGACGGCAAAGAGTGAGCGAGCGAAAGAGAGAGAGAGAGAGACGTCCAAATGAGATTGATGTGGCCCCGGAGAAGAACGTGAAACAAACACACACAAAAAAAAAAAACCAATTTTATTACAATATTACAGTAAATATTATTATTATTAATTTTTTTTTTCTCATTACATTTCGTCATTTACGCCCTTACATATTATTATACGAAATAATAATAATATGTCGGTAATTTCAGCGTGCGACGTAGTCGTCGTAATATTTTACATGTGTAATAATACAAAAAAACAATACTATCGACGATTGCGCGATTTGTCGTACGACAGTTTTTTTCGTTTCTCTTTTCCTAGGACCTTTTATAATATTTTAAATACTGCAGTATTCCCGTATACAATTATGTCCGCGCTATTTTTATCCGATAGTTTTTTTTTTTTTTCTAGTACGATTTCAGAAATCTGAAAGCTCTTTGTCGGACGTTTCTTTGGCCGCGTCTGGTCGCAGACGTATCATTATTATTAATACCTATATTTATATCGTCGTTTCGACTCGACGAAATTTCCCAATTACGCGCTAAATATGCGTCGTTAGAAACGAGACGACCTAAAAAAAAAAAACATATTTACCAAAAACCGTCGCGAGGAAAAACATCGTTTCCGAATATTTGTTTACTTAGGTACAATACTACACGCCGTCATATTTACTGCAGACGGTCTTGCTTTCAGCGTGTTTAAAACCAGCGCTCGAATCGGAAAAGAAGAGGGACCGTAAGATTGAGATTAAAGAAAACTGAGCGCCCCTTGCAATGATTGAATTCAAAGCGGAGACCCCCCTCCCCTTCCCCTTTTATGCTGGTTTCGAAACATTGGAATTAAGGCAGCTGGGATACAAAGGCGAACAAAAACGGATAAGCCGTCTTGTTGTCTCCACTTGTTACTGACGCTCAGATCTCGACCTACCTAAAACCTAATATATTATATTGAATAGGTACATCCGTAAATACCATATTGTATTTGAAAAGTCATGATTGACTCGTGTTTAACTGGCGAACAATCGGATAGCGCAATATTGCAAACGTGTTTAATCGATTGCTTCTGCGTTACTATCGTTTTGGAACATAACGAAGTCGGAATGTGGAAAACTCGCTGAACCTATGGAAAACCTGAGCGCACCACGTCCTCGCTCCCTGCGGGCGAAGCACGTTTGGACCCGGAACGTTTGGGCCGCTTATAAAACTGCAACCCATTCGGAACAGGATTTAGTGAACCCGTTTGGGCCAATACTTTTAAATTTCTATATAGGCTCGATAAATAAACGTTCAATTAAACTACGAAAACAAATTGTTAAATTAAATAATAAGTAAATTATTTACTTACAATTTTTGTATGTCAATTTAGTTTTAAAACATACCGAAAATTCAGTTGTATTAAATATATACCTATAACTATTATCTTTATGTAATAGATATCTGTGTATCAATGTCTTAAATACGATAAGAAAACACAGATAAAATCCTACTATATAAAGGCTCACTAAATAAACGTTCAGTCAAACTAATATAACGGAAAATTCTGGTCCAAACGGACTGTATAAAAGTAGTCATTTTTAGCCCAAAACTGGTCTTCAAAATTGGTCCAAACGGGTCCTGTCCCCCCCTGCATATCCAGCGGTGCGGCGTACGGACACCGGAAGTATTTGATACGAGTTCATAATGTATTTTATATCCTCGTGCATTTTCCGGCCAAAACAATGTCGAGGATTTTTACGACGAAAAAATCGATAAAGAAAAAAAAAAAGAAGGAAAATAATAACTTAAGTTTGGCAATCGCTGTTGTTTTTTTAAATGCTTTTGATCGCGGTTTTAACCGAACAATACCCGCCTGCACGAAGCACGATAGCGATTTTTTTTTTTATCATAATTTATTTGCCGGCACGGTCCCGCGATAATAATAATAAAATTAATAAATATTTTAAATAAAAATAAATTTGATTTATTTTTTTTTCTTTTATGCGTATATATATTAGGCGCGTTGCGTTTTAACAGGTTATAGTTTGTTGTTATAACACAACGGTATTATAATATCATTGAAATCTCTAAATTTTGAAAACGGTATTTTTATAACCACGCATAGTAATATTATTATGAACATGGTTGAACGTCATTTTTAGAATCGATTATAAATAGTATCGAAATTATAAAAAACATATCGCCATTTCGATAAAAGTCGTCAGTTTTTTATGAAATGGAAACCGAACGTTCACCCTTACGAAAACGTTTCACGAAATTATCATTTTTTTCATGAAACATTCAACTGTCTGGTTTTAACGACGAGCAATAATTATCATTCGTGTACGCTGTACCTATCTACTGTTTAATAAAACTTTTATCGGACACAGGTACCTATTTAGTGGCGTTTATGTCCCGATTTTGAGGGCACAGGGCACGAATTTCAAGTCGACGGGTTCCACCACTTACATTATCCGTGTTGGAAATGTATTACTCTAATTAGGAAAATATTATGCAAATGCCGATGGTTTTATTTGCAAACAATTGTCCATAACCCATCCCCCCCCCCTCTTCGTTGGACTTTTCTGAGCACGCTCCTGTTCAAATCCTTTCGAATATCAATAGTTTATGAATATAGGTATTTCACATTTAAAGTATTTATTTAGGTAGGTACCAAAATGTATAAATGTAACTATAAAACAACAAAATGTCAGTCAATAGAGTATAATTACTGATGTTAAACGATGAAAACCTCAAGAGGGGCGAGAGAAATTCACCAATCGTCCTCCCTTCTCCACAGATTATTTTATGTATATTGTTGAAATCGACGAAAGAACAAAATTATTTCCGAAATCATAGACGACTCGATCAGTCTGCCTGGTACGGTTTATTAAGTGGACTGAGAGCGGTGAATTTTCTGTCTTTGTATTACAAAAATTTGGAAAAATTGATTTCAAGTAGACACGACGACAAATTTAAATCTACTTTCAGAATATTCTTATCGTTTCACTAGACCAATCACGGCACATTGGAAATAGAACGCGTCTAAATTCCTATGTTGTACGTGTGCAAGACTACAAATCGCCGCCTCCAATCCCCCTAAAATAATACTTTTTCATTTGTGAATATGAAACCTTTAGAGAATGGCATTTTATGAACCACGAAGAAACCGTGCCTGTACTCCGTTACATATCGAGGCATAATAGAAAATCTGGAAAGTTATACATGGTGGTGGACATAACGCAAGACAATGTGATTGTCTCGGAAAACATATATTTTATTTTTGGGGGAGGGGGAGAATTTGATCGTATTTAGAAAATTTAAGAAACAAGCAGCAGGAAGGGTTAGTGAAGCGTCATGTTTGTTGGTTTGTTGGTTTTGTTGATGCGTGCAATGTTTGGACGGTATCCCATTATTCTCCGCTTACGCTGCACAAACTGATAAAACGTAAAAATGAAATATCCGGTCAACGGGTGGGCGGTAATTAAAAACGTCAACATTCGAACTAAACCTTCGTCTGTTCGTAGAATTTGCAATGCATAGATTACTATTTGAAAAAAAAAAAAACAATAGTAGATACTGAGAAGGTTTCACCGGCAAAAGTAAGCGTGACGAATAATAAAAGTAACGTTCAATTTTAGAGCCGCTTGTTTACTATTATAAATATTCTAAAAAAACAAATTCCGACAGAAACGTTAACGCTTTCGGAGACAATGAATGTCTATGATATGGTTGTTCGCCAAATTATAATCGTTCCTACGTGTGATTTATTATAATACCTAATAATATCATAACAGTATGATATTAAAGTTGTGTGGTTATAGGTGAATTTGTTTTTTTTTTCCGGTGCGCAAAGTTGCACGATGACTGTATTGTGAACAAAATTCCGCGATGTCAGATGCGAGAGTCCGTTTAACGAAAAAGTGACCGGTTCGTGAAATAATTTTTTTTTTTTGTGAAAAGCGCGTTTCCGTTCCGCGAAAAGATCGATTTCACGAATTAGCTACGTCATAATATTATTACCATAGATCAAAATTTAATATTTGATTTTATATTGCGATTATAAAATATTACTATCGATTCAATTTAGAACGACCTACAGTGTGCGCAGTGTGACAGCGTCGGGGAAGTATTGCGAAAACAGATCTCTCGCCGTTGTCGGCTAAACGATTAGAGAAAAAAAGAAAAGAAACAGAAAGCATCTGCAGTATAATATATGCATAGGGCGTGTATTTTATCCGAGATAAAACTTATTTACATTATTGATACGGTGGCGTATTTACGGGGGAGATTAGGGAGATACACAATATCGTACGTTTTCTTATTTCGAACGATACCTATCCGAACCACTGTATTATGGTATATTATGAAGGAGGTTGGATGTGAATAGTAAATGGTAAATTGATCGGGGGAGGGGGGGAGTTTATAGCCCGGGTACACGTTAAACAATACGGACAAATTTCCAAATTCAAATCTCGCGCCACTGAACGCCACGTAACGATATTCTACTAATTCTCGATCAAATGCGCATAATATAGTGGGTGTTTATATTTATTAGAGACGCACGACATTACTGTACTGAATATTGATTGTCGAAATGATTTTTGGCAAATCCAAGGAAACGTAGATGTTATAGCTATAATATAGACAGGCGCCTCTATATGTAAATCTTTATGTTAATCGAAATGATAAACAAAGCGCGCGGCGCAAGTGGAGTACCCGTGTACAATAAATATGTAGGTCCGCGGTAGGTACTTGTGTATTTATGATTTGTTCGACTGGAGATAAGAAAGAAAAAAAAAAACGAAAATGGAAATAAAAGAATTTATTGTCACTCGTTCGGAGGGAGTGAGAGAGAAAGAGGGAAAACGTGACATTTTCTACCGTGTCTTGTAAACACAATAATAATTGTTAATACAATAATACGATCGCGTTGCACTTTAGGTGCGTATAATACGCATACATTATTTTCATTATTCGTACCTATGGTGTCACATTATTATTATTATTATTACCTATAATAGGTAGGTACGTAGGACGATTACGTATGGCGCGCATATTATTACATAATGATACGTTGCATTGTGTGTGTGTGTGTGTGTGCGTGTGCATTATCAAAACCGTTCGCCGAGATAAAAAAATAAAATAATAAAAATTAAAAAACTATAGAAAAACATATATACATACGCTAATAATAGTAATAATAATAATATAAGAGCTGCTGATAATATTAGAAAGTATACGCGCGAGAATTCGTCAAATCGCGACAAAATGACGTACGGGATAATATTTTATTCAAATGCGCGGACCGAAGAAATTTCGACGATTTTTTATGTCGTGCACACGCGTGTGCATATTTCGAATAATATTATTTATACTCTCGCGTTTTACAATAATAATAATTATTATTATCATAATGTATTACCCGTATAATACCGCACGAGCGGTGTAGACGTCCGTCCGGCCATCTATAGCTTGACGGGCTCGGAACCTTCCAGATTTAATTGCATATTATAATATCATAACACACGGAATAAAATATCCTTCGCCGATTGGATTCGAATGGAAAATTCGCCGTTGCGCAATAATGGAGTTATTCGATTACCCTCCCTCCCTCCCTACCCCCCGCCNCCCCCCCTCCCCCCCGCCCCCCCCCAACCGTCCCGCCGTACCGCCGTGCGTATTATTATAAACTTTATATGCACCGCGGTAATATGCGCGAGACCCTCACCTAACCTAACCTACCTGTATAGTATGTATTTATTATACGAACAAAATTAAAAATTAATAAAAAAACGTTTCGCGAACGTTGTTGTATAATACCCAATTATTATAATACGAGAGGATATCATTATTCGCCGTGTATGCATCCGCGAAAATGACAGACAATTTATTAATATTGCGTAACAGGTCGCGTCGCGTGGGCCGCATCCGAGTCGAGTCTATAAGACCCTATAAGTAATGGTTCGGACAGACGACAATGCCGTAGCCAGGATTTTGGGGTTACGGGGGGAGGGGTCTTCAATAAACACCCGCTTGGATATTGTAAACGTTTTCTGGCAACACTTGAAAAGTTTTCGAAAAGAAGAGAATTCAATTACAATTATAATAAAGATATTAAGATGAATATCGTGTTTTTTTTTTTTTTTTAAACGATCAAACTATAATAATCACTATTAATAATATGAATTGTCTAGTACCCCCGCGAGTGAACCCGTGACCCAACCAGAATACTACCCACATAAATGTGTAAATTTTAGATGTCGGGATCAACTCCAGCCTGTTCGACGCCAGTGCATTATATTAGTCCTCGTGTTCCTAAATTCATCCGCGATCTAAGATGGCTTTATCATTCACCTTGTTTACGGGTCGGTCGATTAGATATCGGTGGACTATAATGCGGTTGTTATCGGTGATGCCATCACAGGGTAGACCAAACTAGTATCAACTAGGCAAAATTTTCAGTAAGGTCTATGCATCATATGTCATATGATAAGAACATACGGAATATCTCGGTCTGTATTGTTTATCGACGGTGGCGGTGCGCGGTGGCCGCAATCGTCAAGAAGCGCGCTACAATCATCCGCACGTGTTCGTGAAGGGTACTGTACACAATGGTGTACACACACTCACGTAATATCAAATCAGTCAATACGTTAATAATTCACATGTTATTAATGTTGTTATACGATTAATATAAATTTTCGGTAGATTGTACACGTTTCAAATTATTTAATGAGTCAAACAAAAATAACATAGTTACACCTATGTATTCTATTGTAATATTTACGGTATGCAAATATGAAATTGATAATTATACCGCGGAATGAAAAATCGTAAAAAATGATTAGTATAGTATTCCTTAAAAAAAAAAAAAGACACCTATAAGTGATTTAACGGATTCCGGCACAGATGCGGTAGGCACATTTTCTGTCGGGGATGTATCAATTGAACCGAAAATCGTAGGTAATAATGAAAAAAAGCAGTATATCAGGTTAAAGAACTGCAAATGCCCGTGAATCGCTTAACTTAGCATTTGGAAAATATGTCTACTTACCCTGTTCAAATATTTTTGTTCTTTATGAAGTTTTTAGAAAATAATTCAACTACTTCAGTCGTACATGAGGATAAATATAATATCGTCATGAAAAAAAAAAGATTGAAAATCAAAGGTACGAAAAAAAATCAAACGTAAATAAAAATCTAAACAATATTTATGAATTTTTCTTATTTTGTTCGTTTTTCAGTATATTTTTTGAATATGGAAGAAAAAAAACGGAAAACACAATAATTTCAATAATTCCGGTCGAGCACTTGGTATTCTCTATTTAAAAAAAGTTAGTAGTTTAGTAAACATATCGGAGCATTTGCTGTTCGGGAGGGATATATATTCTTTACAAATAAAATATTTTGAAATGATTCAAATATAGTAGAAATTTACGAATTCCACTTCAGCACCCTCGAGAACATTGCCACGTCGCCGCCGCCACAGTCGTATTCTGTGTATTCTTATAATTACCATATAACACCCCAAAAAATATAATTTTATTATTAATTATCTTCTATCAACACTAACGTGAAGACTAACGGAGCCGGTTTTAAGCTCACAATTAATAACGGTTTTTTCGTTGTTCGAGAAGGAAATATTGATATATAAGATATAAATATCTTACAGTGTTATACGAATGGAAATAACTCTGTCAATTAAATTTTTTTTTCAAAAAAGTTTTGTGCTAGAAGGACACAAATGTAAAGAAAAATTTAATTTTCATTTTCATCCTTTAATCACTGGAAAAAAAATATTTTTATACTTTCACTTTTCAACATTTTGAAAATAACCAATTGGTAAAATATATTATTCTAAAAAATTGAATGTTTCACACATTCATATTCAACCAAAAGTTTCTCAATAATAATCGTTTTAATATCTAGAAAAAAATGTGAAAACGAAACCACCACGTTACACGAACCATAATCATAACTCGTAATACAAACGGTTTGAAATTAAAACGGCTTATACTAAGAAACTATTGATTGGATAGAATAATATGTTTTACAAAATAGCTATTTCAAAAATTCTTTTAAGTGCAAAAAATAAAGTTATTTTTTTTCAGTAATGAAGGGGTGAAAATAAATATATACGTATATATGGACCTCTCACTGACACAAATCTGATTGAAAATTAGCATTCGGACAGCAATGTAGGACTCCCCGTGCCGTATCGCCACACAAATGATACTCCATTACTCTCTTCCAACTAAAATTTAAAAGTGGAATCTTATCAACGGATTAACGGAAATCAAAAATTTCAACACTAAATTTATTTTAACCAATAATTCCTTTATGCAATTTTTAATGTAAGTTACTATTTGAAAATCAAAAGTATGTAGTGATTTTAGCCCCAAAAATAATGATTACATAAACATACAATTTTAGAGCATAGTACAGAGCATAGAGCATAGAGTATAGTAATGCCCCATCCCCAGATAAATTTTCTGGATTCAACACTGCTTGTTTATTAAATTTTCTAGTAAAACAAGTTCCGGAAAAAGTTAACACTCTCCGAGATAACGAGTGTACCCACTTGAATGGATCACCTGGTACTATGTATATTAGGAATTTTGTATACTTGTTTATACTAACGTGAAATAGTAAACTCTTGTATTTGCAAATAAATAGTAATGTCGGTATGGTATAGTGTATTGTATTTAATGCGCCAGTTTTAAAAGTAAAACATTAACTCGATAAAAATTTTTGCCCATATAGGGCCTACGGACGACTTAATTCTGCTCTGCTGCTGGTGTTATGCTCGTATATTATATTAGTATATTGAACTTTTTTTTTCATCCCCCCCCCAAGTATAACCGACATCAGTAAGGGGTCTGTTTAATACAGTACTTCGCACACTGTTGCACATCAACCTAAATCAATGAAATGGTGTAGGTACTCACGTGGACGAAGTCTTTGATCCGTTGTTGGTGCCGACCGTGCCGTACGTAGTCATCAGCCCCAGGTTTGCAGGAATGTCTATGGAAAAGGTCGATGCGTTGCGGGTGTAATGCTGCTGTGGTGGCCTATTTTGGAATTTGTCTTGCTCGTTAGAAGATACGGGTGGCTGCGTGGCGTGTGCCGTATTCAGCGTGCCATCGTGAACGTTGGCAGACGGCGTGATGGGCGTCCAATCGGTTGCGTCGTCCGCCAATACAGCCGCGGGGTTGTCCATGGTCTGATATTGTCACGAACGTATGTATGTACGATTTCAGGGGTATTGGGCACGGATAAGGACCGAAATAACGGTTATATGATGTCGGATATTAGGAGGCGAGGGCTGAGATTTGACTGGAATGGGGGGTAAGGGAAGGGGTAGGACGTAATCGGCGATCCAGACGTTCCTCTTCTTGTTTTTCCCGGAACAGATCGCGTAACAAGTTTCCCGTCGGGCTTTCTAAGGCTGAGGTCGTCGACGAAATGGACTCGGAATACGGGGTGTTTACCAGTATGATGGTCGCTCGGAATTAGTCGCCGTCACGTAAAGATGCTGTCATTAAAAATCCGTTGTTTTCTCTTATATTCGGTGGCTCGCTGTCGGGCCTATTTCTCTTGCGCCTTTCAGTCAGCGCAGACTGCTTGGTGTCCGGTTATTCCCACGGATACGTGGCATCAATTTTACAAATCAACTCGTCAATTTCGTCTGTAAAACGTCAATAAAAAAACTCATTACCAATCGATAAATTATCTCTGAACATGAGTTGTTCGTCGTCGGTTGTTTTTCATGTTATTAGCGTTAAATGGTCACCCATACTTCGCGTCGCGTTTCTTTCAATTTCTATGAATACGAATATATTTTAAGATAAATTAATAAAAAATAAAGGCAAAAATATGCCAACGTGAGTAACCACTTTAGATTTTTAATAGTGACATCAGATTCAAATAAAGTTTTATAAGTTAATAAACAAAATTTTTCTAAATATTTTGATATGCATAACAATAATATATCAGATTGATCGATTTATGAGTTATAGCAATTTTGAATTTAGACCGGAGGAGTAGAGAAGAATAGTACATTTATCATTTAAAATATGATATTAGTGTTACGCATATCGAAATATGTAGACGAAATTTCTCTATTTGAAACTGTAATTGAAAATGGGGTAAGGATAAATTGTATTTAAATCCAAAGTGAATATTAATTTCAGTCATAAGGATTAGGAGTCAAAATAGTGTTAAAATAAAGCTTAAACAATACCGCAATTATTAAAAGAAAAAAAAAACAGAAATCAAATTCACTTGAAATCCTGCTGTTTCATGATAAAGAAATTATCCAGTTTATTGTATATAGAGTATATTATTTTGTATCCACAATAATTAAAAAAAAAAATACAATAGATCCCCCGCTACCCTCCAAATCTAAAAACTTACATTACAACATTACATATCGCCTACTTTTTACATTATAAATTAAACACATTATTTTTTCTTCCTTTTCGAACGGCCGTGCCCTGACCGCACGCCACTACTGCGTATAAGCACTTTGCCGTAAGCGCCCTAGCATCACCTATATGCCAGGCATAGAGTTTATTTTAAAGGCACTCTAATATACGATATAGAACGAAGCAGAAACGGAAACAAAACACTGTAGGCAAACTGTTTGAATACATATATCTATATATTAAACTGCAAGTACCTATTTCAATTATTGTCATTTATCAATTATCTTTAAATTAATAAATTTTAAATTGGTAAAATAATACTGTAATGAGTATCTTTAGTAATTATATATTGCTATTAGTACATAGTTATCATAAAATTCAACTATACCTACTAAAAAATAGTACAATGAAACATTTGTGTATTATACTAGGTATCTACTAACGAATTTCTAACACTGTTAAATAATTATTTATTTAAACTGTATCAATAAACTGATACATGGAACAGACTATTAAAGTTTAGAACTTAGGCTCCTCATTAACCTTTTACAATAAGTAAAAAAAAGACGTCCTAGGATAAAAATGGGGTCGGGTGTAGCCATTGTTATAGGTAATTTAATGTATATCTGTAAGCAATGATAAACCATTGCTAACGAAACATGATTCTGAGCGAAGTTAGGTTAATAGTGTTGTTTTGCCGAAAATACGTAATATGTCATATTATGAAAACCGCATGGAAAATCAAAAAATGACCACCCAAAATTACTATCTGGACAATATTCCCTTTCAGAAATGGAGCCGTACGCATATATCTGAGCAAAATTTTTTGTAGAATTTTTGTACACAGTTACAAAAAAAAAAAAAAACCTTAGTAAAACCAATACATTCTTCGCTACGCTCACTCAGAATCTAAAATAATGTTTATTTTGTCAATAATAATTAATAACTAGGTACGTACCAATAATGTAGCCAAAAGAAAGTTACAGGTGTACCTAAGCTATTAAAGTGTTATCTGTCAGCTACGTAGTTCGTTTATTGAAAACAAAGTACGAATATTATAAATATTATGAATCATAATGCTTAATACGATTGGACGCCTCTATATACTCAACGATGCGAGGACACGCGGCCGTTTTAAATTTATTAGACAAACAAAATCGCAAATTCTTCCACAGTGTGCGCCGGCAAATTATTAACTATACGTCTGTACCGAATATAATATTATATACGCGTCAATAGACATGCCTGTTGACGAGTATATTAAAATAAACTGTTTGCTCATTGAGTAAACAATTCGTGATATTGTTTAGCGCAACGGTTTTGCTACATGAACGCACTTTTCGACAAACTGTTTGCCGGATTCAGTAAACATAATATTATACAAATGGTGTTTACATATGTTTAGATTTTATAGACCTACTGGTGTTAAACATCATGTAATCAGCCTATTAAGTACTTGTAATTTTTGTTTCATGATAAGCGGTAATAAGTAAAAGTACTCGTGGCGTAATTTTAGTTAGGAGGGGATGGACAATTTTTGTTAACTGCATAGAAGGCGGGAGGGTACGAACTTATTAGTTAAGGCTTTCAGAGGGGGGAAGAGGAAGGCTTATAAAAAAGACCTTCATAAGTATAATATTGCCTTACTTTTTAACTAGACAATCAAGATATAATTGGTAGATAGTTTTATGTATATAAATAACAAACAAATTATAAAATGGATAATATAGATGCGTTGTGCTTGGCTTCAGAATAATTTCATTTAGTACCTACAACGTACTCTCCATCTATCGGTGCATTTATATGGACTGCCAGCACATTCAATCGATTAAATATTTACTTATTAGATAAGTAACGTTTGTATAGTATCCTAATATTAAATTATAAAAACACATCTGAAATCGTATTCCGCAAGTATATTTTGATCCTTTTTGGAGTAGAGACCATAAGTAGAAATCTATAACGGTAATGTACATAATACTTAAATTTTAAAAAAGGTCAATGGGGTATTTGACATCTAGACCCTTATTGATAAGTACCTATATTTAGAAATTTATATCGACGTAAATGACCAATGATAGTAATTTAAGGGCCATGTCATTCCACTCGTTTTACCCGTCAGCGGATTTATCGTTTTATTATTATAATCACTATTGACATGACGTCACGTTTTTATTTTGTACCTAGAGAATGCACCTAGTGCGATAGAATTCGATAGTGGTGGTTTACTCACCTGCGATCAATCCGCTTAATGTTGCGCGGCCCTCAATGTTAAACATTAAACCCACTTGAAAAAAACGTCAAAAAAATTAAAATACACAAGTACCTGACATATTTATTAATAAATAATAATACCTACCTATTTTTAATAGACCGCGAATCAGACAAAATTTGTATTTGATAAAAATGACCGTATATTATTTAAATACGGTTATAACAATTATTTCTTTGATCGCATTATATTTTATTTTATTATATAGGTAATAAAACCTACGTCTAATGATATCAGCGTTATACGAGTACACATATATAAAATATAAGTGGAGGACTTTTAAAGCCTCTCGACCGTTTTTGCTATTTTAAAAATTTTCCAAGTGCTTTTTGACGTTTTTAAACATTTTCTCGTGGATTTCAAGTGCACATAAATCCGTTCTCAAGATTAGATATTCACAAAATATACAATTATAGATTATAGACTCATAATAATATTCATAAATAAAAATTAAAGTAAGATTTGGTATATCTAATTTTTTAAATAACTCTGTGAATTGTACTGCTTACCCAACTATTCCCACCTACGAAATTAATGGCATACCCATCAGTAGTATTAGCTCCTTTTTTATTTCTGTATGAAAATAACTTTTCTCCCGGAAATCTCTCTCCGATAATTAAATTCGAGGATGGTTTGTGGTAGAAAATGTTGTCTAGTCGGTATGTTTGCAAGGCAATTAATTTTTTTATTAGCCCTTGAATAGTTTTCTAAATAATTGAGGAATATTGAATCGGAAACGTTAGAAAAACGGGCAAAATTATGTAAAAAATGTTTTTTTTTCAATTTTTTTTTCTATTCGGTTTACCTTTAACATAACAAAAATATATCTTTGGCCCTATGAAAGAAAGACCTACGTTAATTTCATATAATTTTCAACACTTACAAGCAAATTAAATTTTGAAAAATACATATATTCGTAAAATTCTATTATATAATTTTTTTGAAAATATAGATGATCCTAAACATATACTTTTCAGTTCAAATACACATCAACCATAATATTAATAATATTTATTAAGGCGATGTGCATCAAAATTATTTTACTACCTGAGAAAAACACTAAAATAGAAATTTAAATTTTAAAACCCGACATTACGGCATTTTTGAACATTTTCGGCCAATCTATATATAAAAATACAGTTCAATGTATGACGTAGACTGTTTGTCACATGCATACACACGCACTCGTTTCCTTGTTTATAGAAGACCGCCTAAATTTTACTATTTTACTGTTAAACTACAACTTACGATAAACTTTGAGAAAAAGCTTTCAAGCATTTCCTTTAAGGCCAAAATAATTTAATCCAGATGAAATCAAAAAACGAAAAAAAACACGAAAATTTCATACGCGATTAAATAACTAAAAAATAGCTAGAATGTTTTAAACATGTCCAGAATAGTCTTATTAGTACTCTGTGAAAATGTCCTCTCTACGATTATTTTAAACCGAATGATAACTATAATTCTAAATTGAAAAATGAAGAAAACTTTGTGGACGTTAATTTTCTCGCATCCATTTACCCAAATTGGGCATTGGACAACAGAATATTGAAAAATATTATTTTTAAAGAGATCATTAAAATTTTAAAAATAAATTTTAAATTTTACAAAGTTGGATAGAATTTGGTAAACCTGCTCCCGCAGCTTTATCCCATTTAATTTCAGGCCTAAATGACCTGATAATGTAAAGGCCGTACAAATTTACCCCAATATAAATTGCAATAGCGGTTACGACCTGAATGATCACGCGGATATTTAAACGTTTGTATTTTATTTGAATAAAGTACACCCGAAAAAATAACAGTTAGTTTATTTTGATTTTCGGTGCATGGTTTAATAAGTTTCTATTCTACAGTCCGTGGTATCTACCGTCAAGCGCTATAATAATGTTTTATTATTATTACTTCGTCCGTGTTTCAAAACCCTTTATTATCCATTCAACCGTTCTTCTGATAAATCGTCCATGTACTAATAAAATCGGACGGATATTTAATTTAAAAAAATTACAATAATAATATATACACAAGGTCGTATATGAGAGAGTCAATGGGGTTCGAATTCGCTCCATTATGTTTTCAACGTGTGAAACTTGTTTACTAAAACTATTTCCTTTGTTACACTGACATAAATATTTTCGGTCGTAAATGGTGTTAATTTCAATGAAATTTACTATTTCTTATTTTTGAAAACATTAATTTCTGTCTCTCACTGTCTTGCCAGTGACAAAATAAATGCCCATGCCATTATTATAATATGATGACAAAATTAAATTAAATTTCTAAAATTCTTCATTTATATATGCAGTATGTTAAAAGGTTTCTTTTCCGTAACATTTTTGCTTTATAACAACCAAATTAAATAATAATAGTTGTTTTTTTACATGTAATCCATGGTTCGACATAAATTGTTCGATTTTCGTAGCGAATATCTCATGTCAATCCTCATTTCGGGCTTTAATTCGTGGACAATGTCACCCGAGATTAGTATAGCTTTCTACCAATTTTATTAGTGAATACATTTATAGAATCAAATCAGCAGTACCAGCAAGAGATTACCTCCCACAAACAAACATACATACATACATACATACATATATAATTATATATTTTCCTCTTAAAATTAAAAGTAAAAAACTTAATAATAAAAGTTATTTTTCTCGGATTGAAATTAGCATTGTAAAATTTAAAAAATCGGCCTTGCCATGGCCCCCAATAGTATTTGTGACTGGGGGCTCCTCAAGACCAAAATTTATAAAATATCTACATTTAAGTACTGACTGTTTTTATGTGCAGAGATTAAAATATATACGTAGTATAATTAGAGTTTAGTCAACTATTGCAGACTACTGTTAAATAATAAAATATAAATATTAATTATTAATTTATTATAATAATTGTGTAAGCGAGTGATTTTATACATCAATTACTAAAAACTGAAATGTCACTGAAAATTATTTGTGTAAATATGGCATATATACAATACACATATACATGTATTTCATGTATTTCATATTTCTTTGTGAAATCCATTCCTTTTTTTTAGATTTGTGACCCATTAATAAACCTGACTTTTGACCCAATATCGCATTGATGTCCATGACCTTTTTATTTTTCTTCTATGGGGCCCCTAAAAACAAAATGCTCCAGAAGCTCTTGGTGTACCAGGCCGACACCAAAGAAAATGTAAAAACTGCTAATCACCGCTATATTGTAAAGAATCCGTTGAGGAAAAATAATTTAAATCAGTCCATTAGTTTCGGAGATTACCACTATATACAAAAAATGTTCACACATTTATATTTGTTATAGATGACAGGATTTGAATAGTTTCTAATAGTAATTCGTTATTGTTGACGGCCACTATCGATGCCGATCGGTAGTCGGTGACAATTAACAACAGCAATATTTAATTTGTGTAAACTAAAAATATTTATACAACATAAAATTATATTGTCAATATACTGTATTTATAAATCATTTTTATTATTAAAATGAAAGGGGAAATCCATAAAAGAATATATAATATCCATAAAGAACAAATTAGTAAAACCAATACATTCTTCGCGACACTCCGAATCTAAAATATGTTACAAAACAAACTATATGCAAAGATCGTAAAAGCTACTCGTGTAAACAAATTACAATGAGCCATTTTTTAATATAATATAATGTTATAGAATATGTATAATAAAATATATACAATAATTATTATCTTGTTCGTAAATTATACAATATATTTATTGTCTATTGTATGCGTATTGTAACCTATCTGCTACGTTTTATGTATTTATATTTTGTCTTAATTTTGATTGTAATTATTTATACATTTTTACTTATATGTATTAAACATAAATTTAAATATAACTAGTTGACGAAGATTTATTTGGAACTATATGAACATTGTAAATATTTTAGTACTCCTGGAAATCAAATATTCAAGGGTACCAGCATTCATATGTATAACTCTATAAGTAATTAATAAATATGTATACGGACAGTCCTAAACCTATGATCTTCGAGATACGGCGAGCGCGTCCGTGAGGTGGGGGAGGGGGTGATCACTCACTTCCCATAATCCATGTGATGTTCTTTTTTGATACACAAAATATCCATTATCTAAAGTATAAATAATTACAAATGCAACTGCTTCCGAATGCTATAAAGATGATTTCAGATCTTTGAAATTCTTTGATTGAAACAAGAATGAAACAATTCTCATTTATAAATTTCAATAAATATCGTCTCAAGAGTGGGATAAAATTGTGGAAAACTAAGTGCGAACAATCAATTTGCAAAAATATAATAAAATAATTGAATGATGGAAATGATTAATTTTATTTAAATTTTAGATTCCTAGTGTAGCGAAGTATGTACTTACTTACCTGTTAAATGATATATTTTTTTTTATACTATGACAAACATTTCTATCAGAAATCTTGCTTCAATATATAAGTATAGCAATTTTTTGAAAGAAAATATTATCATATTGACTAGATGGTACTTTAAGGAGGTCAATTTTTGATTTTCCAAGCAGTTTTCAAAATATCAGGAAAATCCAAGGTAAAACGTAAGAAAAACATGACAATTTATGATAATAATGTTTTTTTTTTTTTTGTATTTAATACTTATCATTATTATAATTATTATCAATTTAATGTGAAAAAAAATAATTTAACTTTTAAATTATACTGTTTTACTACATTTGAATAATATATCTGCAGTCTTCTAAGCTGATATAAGTTAAAATGATTTCAGACATAAAGGTTTTCAGTTTTTGTTCACCAAAACAGTGGTATTCAATAATAAAAGTAGTTTGACCCCCTACCCATGGAATTGACTCGTAAACACCCCTGTGCAATACTCTTAACCGAATTCCACTCAGAATAGTTTTTTTATCGGCAATGCTTAAATTTGTTTAAGTACAGATATACCTTAAATTCCTCTCAATATCATACCTTCCCAACTTCTCATCTACAACAGTGATTCATCCATCATGTGAAGTATGTTCGTCTTTTTTTTCTCATCAATCATTAATATTAAATTTAATTATTTCGCTCCCTCCTATAGTGAAGGTCTAGAGACGCCCCTGCGATACGAGTGTTATATACGAGAAAGGAAATGTCGATGGCAAATTTGTTGTAATAAAATATTATACATTTAATATAATAATAAATAGGGCTGTTAATGTAATGCAGTGAAAAACCTTAAAAATACACAAAAAATACTAAAAATGCAATAAAATATGCATTTGAAGTCACAAAGAATTCAATATAAAATGAACTTAAATGGTTTTTAATTTAATTTTTATGTTTATTTTGATATTATTGATATTACTAATATCGATATTTCGCAAGCCCATAAATAACTAATCTCGACAAAAAATAAGTGTGTAAAGATCTTAGTTTGAAAAATTTGATTAAAATTACTCTAAAATGAAACAAAAAGTAAAATATTACTTAGAGTCCAAAAAGTGACCCTAAAAATTAAAAACTTCAAATAATGCAAAATAAAATTTTCATAAATTAATTTGTTGTTATATAATTCAAATTATATACTTAGAAAACTATGTTTCACAATCAGTTAAAAAAAAAAATGTACTTTTCTACAATTTCACAGGCCTAAAAATATGATAATGAATCAAAGTAATTAAAATCCCAATAGGTATGCAGTCCGAAAATTGGGTGACCGCAACGAATGATATTAACCAAAAATTGGGCAGTATTATAAGTAGGTAATCTTTTTATTGGGTGACCGACCTAAAGATGCATTTACATTTTTAGCGCCCTTTCGTATTTATTTAAACATATTAGAATTTCAGGCCTCGAACGTTATTATATTTTGTACACTTTGCGCTCCAAAATACTCATTATTTTATTTCATGTGAGCGAGTATAAACTGTAGGATTGGGGTTGATAATTTTAAAAATACCCCTATTTTACAATGCCCAAAAAGATTGTAAGTATTTTTCAATTTTCAATAATTATAGTAAACACCGACATCAACATCGCCCCGTTTAAAAAAAAAAAAACCATTTAAATCGATACGAATTTACAAATAAACTGTCTTAATACTGATTGACAACTATAATAAACAAATTTAATATTCGTTCGAATTTGATTTAATGTGTACATATCACTCATATATTAATAATATTAGAATTATGAAAATAATGGTTTAACGTACCGTACCAAACGTACCAAACGTACCGTATAGGTATTTAATAAGAGCATTTAATTAATTTAGATACTAGTCTATTAAAGATTTCTAATCATAGTAATTGACGTATAAGTATCAGGAAAATCTTAGAATCGGACCTTGTAATTATTTTCTATGTTATTTTGATGTAAATTTAAATTTACTCTAATTGATTGTTATACATTTTGTCGTTTATTTCTTCTTCTTTTCTCTTATAAAATGTATTGTATCTAAACCATCAAATTGTAAATTATTTCCGTCGAGAATTATTAAAAAATTTAAAAAAAAAACCGGATAAAACTTAACCGGTTTTTCGGGTCGTTAAAAAATAAATCAAATGGACCTAATTATTTAAATGCACAACAACAAATATAAACTGTTAGTGTTTTACAGGTAGAAATACTTGCAGTATGTCAGATAGACATACTGCTACTGACTATACACTATAATCGTTCATGACAAACTATTGAAATTTATTCATATGTATTTTTATTAATATTATTATTATTATTGTTTTATACGTATATCACCTACAGCGTTAATTAAAATATACGAAGGGAAAGGATTTTTTTACAGTGTCCCGTATATAGAATTTAAATAAATTTGAACTTGAAACATACGTTAAACGTTTAAATGGATACAAAATAAATAATAATTCGGTTTCATGTAACGATATTCGCGTTAACGTAAACGTGTTTTAATTTTTACTGAAACCTTCTATGCATATTATTAAACTGCATCCATAAAATTATTCAAGAAAAATATTGTATTATTTCAAATTACAAAAAGGTCGATTGTAGGTAGTACCGTCAAAGATGTTTTCGATCTAAATAAAATCATTACATTGAACCGAGATTAAAAATTAAATTCTACAAAATAAACATTATTGTATATATCTACTTTAACGAGTAGAAAAATACACGTGTCGCGTACATTAAACGTTTGATCGTGTACGATAATAATAAATTAGAACTCGTTTGTTCATGACTTAGAATATTTTTTTTAAAGCAACCGGAACTGCAACCATATATCATGAAATAAATTCAATTCACAAAACCTAGATTTTAAATATGCAAACTTATTTTGCGCACGTTTGCATATTTGACAAGTTTGAGCGTATCAATGCACATGTTGATTATTTCTAGATTTAGTAGCATATATTTATAGGCCATATGCAATACACATTTAAAAATGTATATAATTTATTTTTAATCGATATTGACCATTTTCCGCATATATTTGTGAAAAATTAATTTCATATTTCGACAGTTTTATATGCAAATTTTAATAAAATTTCGGTCATTGACACCCGAGCTCCGATAATAGCCTATATATATATATATTAAATATGACTATATTCATCTATACATAATCCAAATTAAATATATTCATTAAAACCGTAATAAAACTAATTCTACTTATTGATCTACACGTATTTTAAAAATCTACAAAAATATTCTTAATGACTCTGTTATAAATACCTATATAAGTGTTGATCAAATAAAAACGTTTTCATATATTATATTCCAAATATTTCGCGTGAAATGTTTAATTTGAATTATCGGCCATGATAAGCGGATTAAGTTTAACCTAGAATTTTCTATAATATGACCTCACAGAGTAATAATTAATGTATACATATTAATATGCGCAATTATTTAATTATTATCAATAACAATTAAAATTAATTGAAAATCGGAACGCCCACAGTGCGGCTGATTCCACTGAATGTTAGAAAAATGTATTTTTATTTAATTTTTTTGTTCTTTTAATTTTAATTTTGTATAAATATCTTTTTTACCAGAAATTATGATCTGATCAAAAACTTCATATAAGAGCTTTTATTATAGCAAATTTTGACTTTATGATGAACGATTGTAAAATGTCATATTATTTAATTTTCCTTGCACTATTTTTAATTATGAGTGAAAATCCGTAAAAAAAAATTTAGGCAGTTGATGATAATTTTGATTTTTTTTTTTTTGTTTATAAGGTAGGAATAAACTCGTAGATAACGAAAACTTTCACCAAACACTATATACTATAAATAGTACTTTCTATATGTGGTAAATTTTTGATAACATTCTGAAGTTTTCTGGCGCATATCATAATAGTATACTGCAGCCGAAAAACCCGTTAGGTTAGATTAACTGAGGAAACACGGAAATAGCTATCAAAGTAGCAAAATTAAACGTAATGTTTTAATGTTCTAGGGTTCTCGCGACTAAAAAAAAAACATTCCAAATTCGGTTTAAACCTTGAAATATAGCTAAAAAGTCAAATATGCATACAGAATCTGTCAATTAAAATAGTCATTGTTAATAAAAAAAGACAATAAAATGTAACATTTTTGAAGTCGCACGACCAACATTAGTATTGCTTATTACTTAGGTTACAAACAGAAAAAAAAAATCAAAACTACAACGTTAATTTGTTATTGGGGTTTACACTGACTCGTTTACAGAGAAGTGAGCCCGTATAAAAAAAAAAAAACCAACGTTATTTTATTTTATGGTGATTAAGGGACGTGGTCGTTCACGTTTATATTAATATATACGGGTGTATATTTTATACTGAGGAACTGTGACATTATTAATTCAAGCGTGTTATAACAAGTTACGTGTTAATTTAAATTTAAATTATATAATTATATATTCATAGATATCACACGTCATATAACGGGTGCATTAGAGTAGCTCTTAGTTTACCCTTGTAGATTTTTTTTTTATTATTATTATACAGTTTGCGGTATCCCCTCATTTTTTGTTAATACCCCAATAAGTAATAACGGTAAAATTTAAAATTAATCTTTCAATTTTAAGCCACGCCCCAGGGTACATGTAATTTTGTCATTTTTTACGAAAAAATCTAAACATTGTGCTATAATTTTTTAATCAAATTTAACATGATTTAATGCACCTTCTGTTGCAGATCATATCAAGATTTACTTTTTATACGATAATTGTACAACTAAAGCTCAATAATTGATATAAATATATCTCAAGTTGCACTGCATACATTTCGAAACCATTTGTGGTATCTAATTCCGAGAGCATGCATTTGCTTTGGAATTTATCGATAAATATATTTCAATAGCATCAAAAAAAAAAAAAAAAAAAAATGATTATTAATTTAAATAACAAAACACTATCAAACGGAAAAATCAAACAACTAAATTTAAAAAATCAGAAATTCCAGAATTTATGAAAAACGAAATTGAACTTTTCGTCTCAAACGAAACTCTAAATTTTTAGAAAATTAACTTGGAATGAAACTTATATTATCAACATTCATTACAAATGGTCTCTAAACTCAAGGTTGTCAACGATTCGGCTGAAAGTGAAATAAAGTTGATTGAAGACTATAGACTAGTATGGAATTATAATTATACAAAACAGTTTGTATTACAAATTATGAGTGTTTACAGACAAATATTTCCTGACTGAAAAAAAAAAATAAAAAAAAATTGTAATTAAGCATGTAGATATCGAAGAAATACATAATTTGTTTTAAGTATTATTTTTAATCACTGATCTGATCAAAATGCATAGTTTTAAGTAATTTTTTACACGTGTAATTTTATTATATTTTGGACTGTTCGACTAGTATAAACAATAAAATAAAAAAATACCATTTAATACGATTTATTGAGTTTTTACTCATTTTTTAGATAAAATTGTAACTACGTTAGTAATAAACGATGCAATAGTGTCAACAGTGATGTATTTTTGAAATCTTAGTAAAATTTCCTACTCGATATTTGCTGTTTAATGTTTTTTGAAACAAATAAATAGTTAAAGCACAATGTTCAGATTTTTTTCGTAAAAATAACAAAACTACTCAACTTCAAGTTCCCGAGGGCGCGGCTTAAACTTAAACGGTTAATTTCAAATTTTGCAGTTAAGATTTTTTTGGAAATTTTAAAAAAATGGGGGGAGGTGTTGCAAAAAAAAATGTAAACATTTGTTTTTAAGGGCTACCATTAAGGGTGCATGTGACCGAACGCCACGCCTCTCCAACCAACCACTGTATAGTACTTGCGCGTAATGTCGCGAAAAATCGGGTTTTGTTTAAAACGCACGGGTGTTCAACCTAAACGGGTAGTAATAAAATACACAAGTATAACGCGTAATTTCTAGGGATGGATCGATAGAGCGCCCGCAACCGCTGCAAATCCCGTAACCCCTGGATACGGCCACCGAGTAAGCGCCGCCACTCTCCGCCCGATCCGCAAACGAGACCAGTGCGCGCAGCCGCCGACGACGCCTAGCAACATAAACCGATCAATACTTTTCATTTCAGACTCCTCCCACAGGAGTTCACTGCAAAAAGGGAATGTGTAAGCGAAACGAGTACTTTTTTTTAATGTCTTACGGATATCTCAAATAGAACTATTGATTTCAACCTCTCGTCCAGTAAAATATTTAATTCGACTAAAAAGTGAAAAATTTTGATTTCCATAACTACAATGTTATTTTTATAAATAAAAACAAAACAAAAACCCACGTTGAATCGCTTCAAGTTATTCTGAAAAATAAAATCCCATTGCCCGCGTACAGGGGAGAAAGTATACGATTTAATGATCTGCAGAATAAAATGCTATGCCATAATTATAATTGAAACCCAAATTTAAATGCCCTAAAACGTATAAGAAAATTCTCCGGAAATATCTTTTAGCGAAATAATAACCAATACAAAAATTACCAAAACTGCTCTAGAACTGAAAGAAAAAAACAGCAAAAAATACAAAATAAAGGTTTTTCTTTTGTTATTGTCATTTGTTTGAATCGGATGATGTACAACAAAATTTCCGATTTTCACGGTTATTTTCCATTAAATTACAAAACAAAAGCGATTCTGATTCTGAAATCCGGTTAAACGTATTTTTCAAACCGATAAATTTGATCACAAGCGCAATTTCTGCGGTATACCCCACTGTACTCTACACTTGTATATGGGAAGTCGAACAGGTAATTGATGAGTCGGACAATTTCGGTCGGACGGCCTCCACCTAAAAATTTCTAAAATTGCGGTTTTTTCTCTAAATTTCTAAACAAACAAAACAAATTGATGAAACGTGCAGAATGGTTAAGTCCCACGTCTGTGGCTATATGCGTTAAAGAAACACCCCACCCGTTATGCAGCCGAACGTTCTATAACGAAATACCATAAATCCGAAAATCTATGAACTCTATTGTAGCTCGAATATGACGTATCTGTTTTGTCAAATAAATAATATAACCGCGTGAATTTCGTGAACGAAACGTCACAAAACGGCAACGTCACAAAACGGCAACGTCGCAAAGATTCCGCACGGAATCGCGGTTTACGATGCGGAACCGTCAGGGGTGCCATTCAAGGGAAGCACTGGGTGTACTTTTTTTTTATTCTGTGTCTTGGTGATGGTTTGCCTTGAAATTTACAAACGGGAGGTACGGAGTACTTCGCCTTATTTATTTAATGTAAAGTGATCAACCCCCTTTAGTCTAAGTCTTCAAAATTCGAAAAGAACGCTTTAGTTATTATTACTAGGACGTTTTTAATGAAATTTTAAAAACTCGAATTATTTTTATAAAAAAAATATTCATTAATACCTATTTTGAATTTTGAAATAGAAGAGACGGGTAAAAGCAAAAAGTAAAAAAAAAGTATTTAACAATAACTAATAATAATTTATTTTATTGTTATACAAATTGTTTAGAGTTAAATAGTTTAATTAAATTTTAATTTATTAACATTAATTTTGGCCAATCTAATAATATTAAGCTCTTATACGAAGCTCCTCTACTTCTTTTGTTTTGCGTACCCTTACATTAGTAATTATTTCTATTACAACGGAGAGACGGTACGTTTAATTTTTCAAATAATAATATTTTAAAAAAAACACGCATTATCAACTGGGGTATATTCAATATATTGTACAATTTTTTTTTTTTTTTTAGAATAAAATATTAAATTCTAAAATGCCGAAAATATTCAGTTATATTTTTATCGTTCGGTCTAAAATGTAGTATTATTATTAGCGTCATTATTATCTGCATCGCACGTAGGTAGTACAGTAAGTAATTTAAATGAAATCTAAAGACCGTAACATTTTTTACGAAAATAAAAAACAATATTGTCAACAATTAAATTCAATTAAATACCTATTAATACATTCCTGTATATATATATATATATATATATATATATATGTATACAATATACTCAACCCTATAGGTATAAATAAATACAACAAAATAAATAAATATATTGTGTATAATATGCAAAATCGAATTCTGCGGGAGTATTATTGTTTGTTGTTGTTGGTTTTATATTTTTTTTTTTTTCGGAAATTACTATAGGTAAATACGAGTTAAGCGCCTCGTGCAAAGGTTCCAAATTATTGATCAATATTTCAATATTTATATTAATAAATGTTTTAAATTTTGTGCCACGTATATGATCAATAATATTCATCAATGCTGCAGAGATACCCACAAATATCTCCAGAGATAATAAATATAATCAAATTCTGTTCTTATTTTTATATATTACTTATAATTACTATATATATTTATAATTCAATTAGTTTTTTATGTTTCGGTAAAAACAAAAAAAAAAAACAAAATTTTTTATTAGAGAAAAAAATTTAACCATCAACCATAATAATAATAATCAATTAGCGAATGCGATTACAGCCTGCTGCGTAATTATAGGTACTTAATTTTCTCTGAAATTTAAAAAAATGAATAAAAATCACGAATCTTCAAATTTTTCGAAAATAATAAAAATAATACTAAAACACACAAATTTAAGCACAATATAATTATTCATAGTCCTGAGTATAAAAAAAAAAAAATTTGTTTATCTTTATTACTTCCGAAAATAAGTAATAGGTATATTTTCACGGGTCACTGTATATTTCTCAGTTTAGTAAAGAGAACGCGATTATTGCTATTGCTCTTGCCATATTTTTCTTTATTCTGCACACATTATAATCATTACATTTCACGTCTTCCCATAATGCCGGGTGATCACAATAATCTTGAATAGAAGTCATTTTGATACGCGATTTATAATTCACGATGCGATAAACCGACACATTTAAAAACTTAAAACTGACGGAACATAAATAAGTGCCACAAATGGCACAGTATCATTCGCTATCTATCCAAAAATATCAAAATAATTTCGTCATTGACTCAATATATTGAACGCGTCTTCAACATTCGATATTATCGTCAATAACAAATATCGATCGATATACTATTGAACTACGTGTATGGGACCACTTTAGATCGAGTTCAATAATATTGCGAGGGACACTGGATTTTTTTTTTTATAATTTTAATTCTCATAATAGAGCCCCTCTTCTGTTTTATGTTTCCGATTCGAACGCTGGATAATAATACGGCAAGATAATACGACAACGCGCGGCGGTAATGTATCGCACTGTACCCGCGACCTCCCGCGGTCAACCCGTGTGACTGTACCTACGGAAAAAAAAAACCGAATGTATGAATAATGAACGTCACGTTATAATATTTTTTTAATAGGATAATATTCGTTTGTTATTATTCACTCCTCCTGGTGCTCGCGGCTTATTAAATTATCGGCGACGGTGCTTATAATATTAAATTATAGCGGCACAGTGCTCATATTGAATATTAACGGCGGTGGCATTGACGCGACCTTAACACACATACATATTATTTTACACGATTCCGTGCCGGTTATAAGTATATGTTTTTTTTTTTTTTTCTACGATTGCGGCGTTTACAATAACATCACCGTATACGTATTAATTTAGGGAACGGATTTTGAAAATCCGTGATTTCCAAAGATCGAACAATAAAAAACCTAACCAGCAGCTGTAAACGGGCGTACTGCCGTTTTAGGATAGGCGTAAGTCTGACACGAGAATATAGATGGTGATATACGAGTGATTTTATTTTGTATCTCATGTTATTGATGAAAAACGATTCTAAACAGAATAACTACCTATATTATTAGCCGTATTATTTCCATTGTTTGCGCCAAGGTAACCAGGAAATCAACGAAAATTATATTGAAAAATTACCACTTTATTGAGAAAAAACCACAAAGAAAATAAAAAAAATAATGACCTTCTCGATGCATCGACTATAAAGATTAAAAATCGTCACAAAAAAGTCCCTATAAAGTTTTTGATTGGAGCAAAATGTCCGGTAAACATGTTATTTGCACACAAAAAAATAAAAAAAATAAATAAATAAACACACCGTATAGTTAAACTGCTAATTTTCTCGTTTCACTCAGAATCTAACATCATCGGACATTATCAACAAATTAACGCGATGATTTCACGGTGCATACTTTGAATAAATCGGTACAATAATAGATAGTTATTGTGATTTTAAACTGTATCACACAGACAGAAATATACGCACTTGAGTATTTTAAAACGAGTACCTATACTATTATAGCTCCCCATACCTGGTACCCGTTGCATAGCAATGAATTTCAGTAAAATGTTTTCAACGTCATCATCGTTGTATAAAATAAATGCACGTAGATATAATGGATAAGGGTGTTTTTTGTTTATTACCTGTATTTGGGGAGCGATGGAATATCAATACCTACTAAAACCTAAACGAAACTCGAGAGATTAAAAAAAAAAAACACGGTAAATGTGCGTTAGGTATAGTGAAGTATCGATTAAATACCATACAAGAATACGTAGTGATTTGAGAGGACAATATTCTCGGCAGTCTGCTTAAGTAGCTACCTGTAGGCCGATGTTAACGTGGCTCTCCTGACGGGTGATGTGAGGTTATCCGTAAATAACGTACAAACATTAGGAGGATATGGTAACCGTATGCAGTGATGAGCATTTTTTATGCTTGAGGCAAAACAAAAAATTTGCGACCCACTCGCCCAAAACATACATTTTTATAATATGGCATACAAAATAATTTTTTCACAGCAAAGACCATATTTAGTTACATAACATAGATTATTTCTTTTCAATTCGTATATAGGACAATTAATAATATAAATATATGTATAGGTAATACACAAAACTAAAGGCATTACTGATTTCATGATAGTTAATCTTAATCAACATTCAACCTATTTAGTGACTCGCTTTCACTCATTTTAGTCATGAGGCGATCGCCAGAAAAAAACCTACTTCGGCATACTACTGCCTGTATATGCTTGTTTCAATCCAAATATAACAGGTAACATAGTAAAAACCATGTTTACGCAGACCGCAAATTAGAACTTGGTTTTGGAGTAAAAGCATCTATAATAATACTAAAAAACAACGATATTTGGGAGGGAACCACAAATTATTAATTTTTTGGAAAGCTACAGTCGATTTAAAATATTTAAATTACCATTATTTCTGAATGTTGTAAAATCGCGCGGCATAGCAACACATTTTAATTCAAATATTTATAATATATTATTATAAATATTAAACCGAAGAAATTCGTCGTTAGGTTAATATAGTTAATATAGTTGTAACTTTTAATAAGACTATATCACTGCGAGTTGTCGTTATAATAACAATGACTATTAATTAATCTAGACGAAAATTTTTAGTGCGTAATGAGTTTTTGTTTTGTTCAATCATATTTTCGATTATACAATTTCCATACACAATTTTATATTCTAAAAAAAATAAAATACTATATAACAATAAAAAAAAAAAATAATAGTTTTGCTTATTTATGATGTGTAATTTATGCTGTGCACGCACGCTACGCCACTTATATAGAGCTTATAGGAGGTACAAAGTTAACGCCCTTGGTAGCCTATTGAGCACTTGAGCCTACTAGTTAATCAAGCTTTGATTCTGGGTTACAAAAAATATTCTCACAACATTTTTATTATTTTTTAAATTTATAACGGAAAGTAATACCGACGTGAATTATGTATGTATTTTAGTGAAAATACGATTGTACAAACTTTATTTTTTTATAATTTATAAGTATAGTTTGTTTGCAAAGAATACCTACTGAAAAATAAAACAAGGGGACAGTTACCTATTTCAAGTTATACCGATAAAGTAAGTTTTTTAATAAAAAACCATAATGCATGTGTTCTTATTTTTAATTTAAACAACTATGTTATATTTTTCACTATTTGTTTCACATGGATGGGCCACTGTTGTAGATGAGAAATTAAGAGGATAGGATATAGAGAGAAATTTAAATTATATCTGTATACGCATCGATAAACTATTGCTAACAAAAATTGATTCGGAGCTAAATTTCTTTTATGTACAGAATGTACGTGTATATTCCCGTTTTTCCCAATTAGTATAAAAACCACTTGGAAAATCAAAAAATAACTCCTTCAAAGTACTATTCAAATTAAATATCATTTCAGAAAAAGTACTGCAAATGATAATTGGAGCAAAATTTCTGGTAGAAAAGTTGTTCACTGAAAAAAAAAATTATTGTTTAAAAATATGTAAAACCAATACATTCCTCAATACGCTCTGAATTTAAAAAAAATTATCGCAACGGTTAAAATAGATATTTTAATCGGTTTTAGACGATTTTTAATGTAAGCTAGGAATATTTGAATTTATAAATTGTAAAATAAAAAAAATCGTAGAAATGTTTTCGGTGGAGGTGGTAGACAATCGTCCAAATTCCTCCCGAAATTAGTATTTTATATAAAAATCCAGTCTTACGGCTAACGGAGCTGATTTTCAACATCAAAATCAATTTTTTTTTGTGTTCTACGAAACGTTTGAGTAACAAAATACACGGAGACTCCGGCTACACTAGCCCTTCCTTCCCTCTAAAAAATATCAAATATCTCCGCCTTCGCCGCTTAAGACATGGCAAATTTATGGAAGACTTAAGTATTGTACATAATACACGAGTATAATGAATCATTGGCTGTTATTTTGTGAAACATGGAACGTCACGCAGCGAATGGTGGGTGAGGAGGAAAGGAGAGGTTGAAACCAGATGGCGCCGGATCCGGTATACGAACACGTTTATTTCATTAAAAAAAAATCTGCTCTCTATATTATTATTATTATAAAAACGATCGGACGGTAAATACCTATATTTGTTATTGTGTGTAATACCGATACACGGGTAATAACCAGGCGTAATATCACAAATGTGGGTATACTTGCCAATGGTGTTATTAAATCGGACGATATTTTTTTTTCTTTCTACGATAATAATACGGATAATGAGTAATGACCGTAGCATTATCACCGCGTGCCTTTATATTTCCATAATAGTGTTGCCCGTACAACGCAGCGCAGTGTTGTGCGCACGGGCACACGCAAATAATAATAATATTATAATAATAATGTCGCTCTATAGGTTGTAAACGGGCGTACCGCCGTTTAGAGTAAAAAGTCGCCGAGTTAATTACGATCGTTAACTAGTCGTGCGTAATTATTTCTACGCCAACTGCTACAGTGTGACCGCTCGCACGCGCGCTGAAACACTATCATGTTAAGAATAGCAACATAATCGATTATCACGATCCGAAGACGACGGCGACGATATTATCATCATCATCATCATCGTCGTCGTCGTCATCGTACTCGTTATTGTAACAATAATAATACCCATGTAATTGGCAAATTATACGCGGCCGTGTACAACAGTACCTACCACTGTCCACTCTACTGCTATACGGCAAAAACCTTCGTCGTCGTTGATATTATTATCGCCCAACCGTATAATTTTTTTTTTTCTCCTAAACAATAATAATATTATTAAAATAATCGTCTTTCCCCGCGAGTACCTCATATTAACCTACCTAATCACCGTCATTGTGTTCGCGCTGTAAAAATAGTATCATAATCGGCGCTATGACGACATCGCGCATTCCTCGCGTGTGGCGCGTGTAACTTTGTAAATCGGATCTCGAGTGGGTGGGTATACGTTACCCACAGGCGTGCACAGACCTTGATGGCATAGGGGGGCAAAATATATATCATTAAATGTTATATAATATTAATATATTATGTAATTGAATATTATTTTGTTTATTTAGCGAGTACAGTATTGATATTAGCGATGGAAGTATTTTAATTTTGCGTTTCGTTGATTTGATTAAAAATGTATAGTAGAGTAATTGAAATTTCACAGTTTTTGAAAGAAAAATTTAGCCCGCAGGAGAAGCAGCTGCCAACCCTGCCCTTCCCCCCTCGTGCGCACGTCTATATTATTATATTGTTATCAACACCTATGTCTTATTTAGGTATCGAGCAATTTAGCAATACGCGCGTGACGCGGGTGATTTTATTTTTTTTTTTTGTTGATCGCCGTTTACACGAAACAAACGAATTAATACGTGTTGGATTGCGCCTGATCGATATTGCCTAGGTGCAAATAGAGGAGCCGGGGAAGGGGGTTGCTTAGGAATGACCAAATTACACCCCTCCTCTTAAATGTTCGCCTGGTTCAAAATTTCGTACAATCAACACTACTTTTCGTGTTTAGAAATTAAACGAAAATACGCATTAATAATATTATTAAAAACAAAAAGCAACTTTAAAATCGTGCAATAATCGTATAAAAACCTATGACGCGCGAGAAATATATTACGATAAACACACGGTTAAGATCAGAGGACAAATCACTAATGGGAAAATTAGCGTACAATTGTTCGGCAATCCAAGGTAATTTTTAGTAATCTTACAGGAAATTTTGGTAATTGTTGAGAAATTTTGGTATTCTTGAATCTAGTGTACACAATATTAATCATTGATTTAATCTCTGCTTAAAACGGTAACGGTTCCGTTACTCCATAACAAAAAACCCCATAAACAGAAAAACCGGCAGTTTGGGTGCATAAACGTATAACACGTTAGAATACCTCTATCTGCATAAAAATAACAAATATCCGACTTGAAAGTTTACGATTTATGATTTATTAACTCGATAAAGATGATGATCGCGTACAGGGAGGTCCTGAGGCTGCAGCCTCTCGTGGTTCTCATTTTATAAAAAACAAATCAAAATTTGTCTTGTACATCCTCAAAATAGTAATTTTATATGTAAAAAATAATTGAGAAAAATAATCGAATTTTTTTTTTACATTGATAGCAGAGAAAAAGTGTAAATTTTGGTATTCAACCAGGTTCCTAGTTAACTGGTGCCTGGCATTTTTTAATTTTTGTCTTGTGATTTTTCATGATGCTAATACTATTAAAATATATGTACAAAACAACAAATAATTATATTTTAGTAATTTTTTAACGAACAATTTAAATTAAATAAAAAAAGGAAATATATAGTAAGATTTAGGTAAAACTGTATATATTTTTATAAAATAATGAGCCCTCTCCATAACATTATCAAAACCTGGCGCCTCTGCATTTATTGGTAAAATGATTGAAAAATCGTACACAAATTTAACTCGAAATTAAAACGAATAGTATATAAAATATAAGCATCGTGTAAGCATTAAAATAAATAATAATTTTAAAACTATGACAAATAATTATCAAACATTGACATATTATTTTCGTATATATGTCCAAGCACGTTATATTCATTCGTACCCAAACATGTTGCATATATGGTCCTAAAAACCCTTTTGTTTCATCTGATAACAATTTAGGCTTTCTGCGCTATATTTACGCGTAGACTTATACTTTGTCTATGGATTTACGTGCCAATTTCCATATGCAGTAACGAAGACCGTTGTTTATTTAGAATATCGGATTTTCGCTCTTTGTGTTTGGTAGAACGTATGCGTAACTCATCGTGTGAACAATAAACAGTTTACATTTAACGCACGTAATTTTTTTCAAGTATATATTGTAATATTGTTTTGTGTACTTTTATGTGTGGGTATGTGTAGCCGTGACGTGAGGATTGAAGAATATGGCGGGGTATCTCCAGCCTTTTTGTATTAACGTTATAGATTTGAGCCCCCACAAAAAAAAAAAATGTGGACTTTTTGCGCCTATGTTACCTATTTATTTAATTTAAATAAATTCTATGTTTATAAATTATGTTATAATCGTTAAAAATGTTAAATAATCAGCCTCATCTCCTATTCCGTGAAAAAATCATTTGACCGCCACCATTGGCCTAATGATAAATATTTAATATTTCACTTATTTATAATACTTTATTATCCTAAAATCACGTGCACAAGTTCACCTCCCCTCCCTCTCTTCAGAAATAAATCCTATTACCGCAGTCACAACACGCCGCTGGGCCTCTCATTTTTCGAATATTAAAATTGTACATACAAACTGTCAAAAACCATCTGAAACAGCATGGCCCGATGGTATATCCGGAAAATGCGGTTGACCCGAATAACTTATATTTGTTTTGAACGTTCTGGTGTTTTTATTCACTACAGCAATATGATTAATAGGTACGGGGCGAGGACGATGGGTGTGAATGCCTCTGTCCACCGGATACCCCACTGACTGTCGAATGCCGATTAGAGGAAATTTCGTATGATTTTTCGAAATACATACAGAAAAAAAAGGAAAAATCTGACTGCGTAAAAACCGCGCAATTAATATAGAAATAAGATTAAATAAATAGGAACATGATTATTATAATATGCATCTCCCTCGGCTTGAAATGGTATTCACGATTATCTGCCTTATCGAAGGTCGATTGCATCAGATATATTTGATCTTGAACGGTAATACATGCAATTGGAAGCAAGCCGGGGCGGATTCAGGGCAAGATAACGAGGAGGACAGGACAATTTTAAACATTCCTATGAGGCGTACATTTACGATGATGAATCAAGCTCCCCCACACCTGTATCCGCCACTACTTGGAAGCAACAGTATTAGGCAACCATGGCTATATTTTCCATCACTCACCCATAGGTCAGGACCCTGCCTCCCCTTACGAAATTGTCTTCCAGCTACGGCCTTGTAGACGGTGGAAAAATATGGCCCACGGAAAAATTTTCCCAGTCTGACATAATAAAGTATACGAGTGCCCGTCGCTAATGATATTGGGTGTCCGAAAAACGAGTGATAATTGCATATAGGTACGTATACATTGTATAATACGACTTTATGAATATTATAGTCTATTGGCGCGTATTGTATAGACCTGCAATCATTATAAACACGCGTGCGTGTGTACACGAACTTCCGGACTTTGTATTGTTAGTGTTATTATCTGTTATTATTAAAAAAAAAAAAACCAATAATAATAGTGAATAAAAAGGGAAAATTGCCCTGTGATGTATTCTGAAACATTCTCTTAGTCGCCGAGAGCCGATACGCATCGCGCCCGCACGCTTAAATACCTATCTGTATGTACAAAAGTAACGACACGGGATGGGGGGGGGATATGAAAATAACGATTCTGACGTTTTTTTTTTTTTTCATACCACGCCGTTTTATAATTAATAATATTGTGTACTTAATACGGAATGTACCGCGTGTACCAATAGTATAATACTCATGCCGATTGTCAACACTATTATCTGCGTATATAATTATTGTTCTATGACAGTCAAACAACAGTAATACGAGTAAGTATTATTTTCAAATAATAATAATCGTCCGAAATCGCGGTATAAACGGGTACCTGTATAATATTATTGCAATCGGTTTTTGGCGGATGTGCGCGCGTGTTTTGTAAGGTGAAATCCGTGAAAATAATATATACGGAGACTTCCCCCCCCCACGTATATTGGTAACAATAGATACGTATGCCGCAGCCGTCGCCGCCGGTGCTTCCGAACTCCATTATTGTTACCGGGGCGTCGGATTTTCGATTTCCATCGTCGGCGATTCTTTATCGTTAGGAATAAGTCATGTCACAATAGGTTTTCGAGCCTATCGCGGCCCACGATATTATTATAATGCACAATCACGAACAATTCACGGGCCGACAGCACCAAAATGCCAAATATATTATAATAGGTATATCCGTGCCGCCATAGCCGGATTAAGTACTTGACGGGCCGTACACTAATAAGTCGGATGGTCACAATATTCAAATGTACCGAAAGTATTGAATATCTATCTCTATAGAGATGTATCCCGTCGGGAGAAGAGGCAGGATACAAAATACGATTTATAACGTTTTACCGCGTAATTAATTGTCAATAATCGTATGCAACTTGAAAAAAAAAAAAATTAAATTACAAATAAAAATACGTATTCTGCATTCATATATATAATGCGTTTAAATGTTATTGGAACGAACGATAAATCGCATCACCAACCGTTGGACGAGTGAACGACCTACGGTAATTACAAAACATAATTTATACCCGTATAAATAATTATATTTTATGTATGTATATATATTTTTCCCCCTCTAAATCTCAGCCGTTTTTGGACCGAAGTTTTTTTAAAGGCAGTAAGCAATGCTTATTTTGTTTGTAGGTAAAATAAACCCAGTTGGTCGACGAATCAGACGCAGTAAGAATATTGTAATGCAAACAGACATAGAGAGGAAAGAGAGTGACAGGAAGACCGAAAAAAAGGCGGTTAGATGCGATTGTAGAGAATGATATGGATTAAGGTGGGATCCAGGGAGGGCTATAGCCTCCGGGCCAACAGACTCCCAGGGCCTCAGTTTTTGCCACAGTAAGTTTTTTACATAGTATATGTATTTAACTATGAACTTTGAACTTTGATATTTTAATATTTTTTCGTTGTCTGATGATGAATTATTCGTATTATTATATAGTAAAAACTACTGGTACCTCTGCTAAAAATAATATATTTATTTATTTAAATTATACATAAGTATATAATTAAGCTATAAAGCTATAAAGCTTTTGAATTGAAATCTATATTATGATGTCTACACTATTTATTATTTTTCTTTTGTTAAAACATATTGATTAGTAACCGTTTTTAAAAATTGCACATTATTAGTCTTTCACTGAAATCCCCGTTTTGGCTCTGGGACCTCTGCATGTCTTAAACCGGGCTTGTGTGAGGAATCACGGATCAAGTGGAAGTTAAGGATGAAGGCTAAGGAGAAAAAGAAAAAGTAGAAGATTGTTGTAAACATAATGTTATATAATATAAAAAGGTACGATATGTGATATGTAACTGATCGGGTTGCCCCCCCCCCCACTCGCCCCTCCAAGGGTTCTGGACGCGACACTAATAAGTAAGACAAAGAAAATCCGAACACGTAACTATAGTGAAATACGTCTCGATCAATACTTATAATTGATCAAGGTAAAAATATAGGTACTCTTTCAAATAAAATATTATTATTACGTCATATCTGCAATATATTAATTATTATATACCAGCAACTATGCGGATACTGTCGTGCAGGGAAATTGCGGAAAATTCGCAAAGCGCGTGTAATAAAAAAATTAAACGAAAGGTAGAGAAAAAAAGATTATCACCGGCGTGGGGTAGGGGGGATTAGTGTACACGCAATACGACGCCGTCGTGCCCGAGGCTCTCATATATCTTGTCCATACCGACACGTTAAATATTATTATCAGCAAAAAACTTTTCTACCAGAAATCTCACTCCGATGTATCAAGACGTGCAGTATCGTTTTGAAAAGGAAATTTTATACGGATGGTATCTACTTTAGGGGTGGTGCCATTTTTCGAATTTTCGGGGGTTTTCATTAATAATTTGGAAGGGGGGAACGGGAAAATCTATGAGCAAAATGTATAAAAAAAATTCCGAATTGTTATTCGTTAGCAACGGTTTATCGTCACGTATACGGATATAAAATCGAATTATTTTTTATACCCATACCTTTCCCGGGTTCTCACCTACAACAGCCAATCGCACGAATTATGTCCGTCTTTATTCACGGGCGTACAGGTTTTAGTTTGTAATATTATATTTATTGTTCATTTTATTTCTAGGAACTCGAATCATCTCCAATAATACGAGCAGTAGCCTAAAGGAGATGTTAAAATATCTTGAACAACAGTATTATACTTGTCATATTTTGTTTTGTGTTCATGTTAAGAGGACGTTATACCCGCAACTACTGTCTTGGTCCAACTATAACCGGGTAACACGCAAAAACAATGCTTAAGCAGAATAAGTAAAACTAGTTTAATTTTGATTTCAGAGTATAAGTACCTATTATGAAATGTACAGAGAACAATATTTTGGAGGCAATGTCATAGGTGCTATTTGAATTATGAACTAATAAAAGAATTACGATTATTTAAAAAAGAAAAAAAAAAGAAAGGTTTTTGTATCTTATATATCGAGCAGTATATTTCGAATAATACAAAAACGCTATGCTATTCCCTCCGAATCAATCAAATTTCTATCAATTTCATAATGGGTACTTTTATTCTAAAATCAAAATGTTTACGTGTTTTACGTTTTATTCCGCGTAAGCGTTGGTTTTGCATGTCAGCAGTTCGACTGCGAGACAATAGGTGCCGGTTATAAAGTCCTCTTAAAATACAAATAAACTGCAATAATTATTAGCAGGCACGATTATACTCGAGTGGACAAAATCTAAATATCGGACCGGACAACAAATTTAGTTTCGTAAATAAATACGAGGATACAATAGGGCCCGGGGTTATTGTTATAATATCATGCGAGAAAAAAAAAAACATAAACATCCGCGAGCTATTGTGACGGCCGTTCGCCTTCGTTACGATACGGTGTTGTGTTATAATAGTGAAATTGTTATTATGTTATTTTGTTATTACACGCGATATCGGAAAACGACTTTTTACGAAGTTTTTTTTTTTTGTTTATTTACTATATTATATTGTTGTTTTTTGTTTTTTACCCGCCCATTATTATTATTATTATTCCGTCTTTTGCGTTTTACTTATATTTTACGTCGTCCGTCGGTGTTTTTTTATAATTTTTTTTTTTTTCTTCGTTTTCGTTATATTGTAGTATTGTAATAACAATGTTATTAATACGACGACGGCGACGGCGGCAACAATCACTCGGCCGTCCGTCCCGGGGAACGCACACGAACGAGCGAGGGCATCGGCGCGCGCGCGGCGGCCCGTTCAACCGCAGTGACGGTTTCGGGCCGGCGTACACCGCGACCGCGATCCCGGTATATCTACAATGTTATTATTATTATTATTATTATTATTATCGTTACGCGTACCTACTCCGTAATAATAATAATAATAATAATAACGATAATATAATATTATAATAATATTATTATTTCGCCTTGGCCCGTCGCCGAGGACACCTCTCCGCGCGGCCGCCGCCGGTCGCCGCCACGTCCACGGCCGAGGAGTCGTCGTCGTCGCGGTATATACCTACCTACCTACCGACCTACCTACCTATGTACCTGTATAATATTATTATTATTATTATTCACGTACTTGTATACATAATAATAATAATATACCTGTGTCGTTATTACGGATTATTTAACACGCGTATATACGATAGTAATATAATGGGCCGTAACGCATACAGCGTGTGCGTGCGCCGCGTATGCCCGCCTATTAAGCTCGTCCGTTATTTATACAATAAATATTATATACCTCGTTTATAATGTAATTATCATCATCGCGATTACGACGACAGTATTATTTTTTCGTATTATTATTATTATTGTATCTACGCGGTTCGTTTTCTTTCTTTTTATCTTTAAATATCCTCGTTACGATAGTAATATATTACTATCGCCGCCGCCGTCGACCGACGGACGGACGGACGGACGGGCGGGGTGGGGCGGGGGGGAGGGTCGTCCTTCGGCCGGCGCTGCGCGGGTGAGCCTGACCGCGAAATCTCCGACCGACATCGGAGGCGCAATAGCGGCGGCGGCGGCGGCGGCGGTGGCGGCGGTCGGACGTCAGAGGGGACATACAAAAGGGCATACAAAAGCCCCGTTCCCCTACCCGATCCCCGATTCCTACCGCTGCCACGAGGTCCGACCGTTGACACTGTTATTGTACACGACGTCGCGCGCGTTTTCCGTGGCTTCCGCCCGTCAGATTCCGATTGAACGGGGGTGGTTTTCTTTTTTCTACGCGCAACACAACAACATACACATATTGTACGCCGTCGCCGATACGAAAACGAAAGTGCGGAAAACACGGTCGGGTCGGATTAGGTCAGGTAACAATGTTACCGATATCCGAACGAAACACCAATAATAACGATCGGTATTCCGTGTCGAACAAACGATTGATGATGATTGGGCCCAGGGACTTTAAACTCTAAAAATCGTACAAATATGCTTTAAAAAATGTAATAAACGACCATAAATAATCGCTATACGGTTATAGCGCTCATTAGAAGCTGCGTTCTGCTAATATATGCTTTAATCAGAAAAAAAAACATTAAAATATTCAAAAATATGCGCAATAAAATATCGGATTCAGATTCTATGTAACATGAACAGGATTTCTATTTGACTCTGCTACTTTTTACACAATTCAAAAAAAATATGCAAATGCTAGAAGTGTCTAAGCCTAATAACGTCCGACCCCGGAATCGATGAAAATGTCTTCAGCCGAAATTCGCCTTTATTATACAGAATAACGTGGATGTCAGATTAAAGAGTGTAAATGTTTTTTTTTTTAAAGCTTGAGATGAAAATATCGAAAATTGTAGTTCAATGCGGTTTGTGAGAAGACGTAATTCTCAGTCTAATAGAAAAAATAACCGTGAAATCGGAACACTGTACGCGGCGTGAAATTTTACACCGTAAGGCATGTTTTTAAGCAAAATACATACTAAAAACGTGTCTCCTACCCGTACTATAAAATAAACAAAAACAAAAAAAAAATGAAATTTCACACGATTGTCAAAAACGTACTTTGTGAAGTATTTTGCATCTTATATTCGCGCTAAAGAGAATTTAAATTTAAAAATATAGTTATCCTACATAGTTGAACAGTTGGTTGCCACAAAGCTCAGTTCTCAGGCGCCGTTATCATGTAGTGACGAATACTAGTGGTCATATACACCAATATACGAATGTATGGTATTAGTTGATGTAAACAATGGTTAGTATTTTTGCCTGTGAACTGAGTTTTGTGACACCCATTCCCGGTCTCGCCTATATCTACGGCAAAGAACCTGGAGAATCAAATTCGAGTTTCAAATTTGAAATCGCCAGCCGCAGTATTTCTATACGGTTTTGCTCGGCTTTTCGTCTAAAACACGCACCATGATACATTAATCCGTAAAAATAGATATAGATTCTAGCGAAAAAGTTTTATTGCCCTGACATGGTCCTTATAAAAATCCATAAAAAAAATTTTTTTTTTCAAATTTTACGAAATCGGGAAAAACACGTGTAAACCCGTCTCCGATCGCGCCAATAATTAATAAATGTTCAATCTATGGAGATTTCGGTCGGCGGTCTATTTTTCATCACTAATGTCACACTCATTGTACTTGTACAACGCACATGCGAGGCAGTGATCACGGTAATAATTGCATACACCGATACACGTAGAAATGTATATATATAAAAAAAAAAAAAAACAATACTTTCAATTGCGACTGTTAAATTTTTTAAAACATTATTATTTAACGTTTCGAAATGGGCAATTAAATGGGTTTATACTCGCATTGCACGATGGGTTTGACATTGTATTTATATAATGTTATATACTCGTAGACTGACGTGCGTACAGTGATGTATATACTCCGATGGTCAACTTTTTTTTTTTTTGTTGCATAATAACTATACAGTAATCAGGACGTATAGTATTAGTATACTAGGTAATTAATTTAAGTGGGTGCACTTATTATCTCGGAAAGTATTTACTGTTTTCGGAATTTGTTTTCTAGAACATTTAAGAAACAACCAGCTCTACAATTTTATATTAATGTTATTTTTTGTGACCCTTATTTTTTTGGAGTAAAACCACTACCTATTTTTGATTTTCAAATGGCAACTTATAGTAAATATTCCATAAATAGATGGAGTATTAGTTAAAATCAAAAGTAAGTACTGGTTTTACTCCAAAAAAATAAGGGTCACAAAAAATAACACAAATATGACATTGTAAAGCTGGTTGTTTCTTAAATGTTTTAGAAAACAAATTCCGAAAAAAGCTAATACTTTCGGAGATAATGAGTATATCCACTTAAATGAATCACCCGGTACTACAGCAGTGAATCTCGCCGGTGATAATAGCCGAATCAAAAATGTCCGTGAAATACCAGAAACGACGAGAGGAAATAACGATAACGCGGGAAAACGTTTTCATATCAATATAATAATTATCAGTAGCGGCTCGAAGAAGGTATATTTGAATTAGGCAATTCGGAAAAAAACCGCATGGATGGGTCGTAGGCGTTCAGAAATAAAACAAAAATTATTATGTTTTTACAAAACAAGTCATTAAAAGAATATAAGACTGCGGAAATTCGATAAATTTAATTGATATTTAACAAATTCCAATACATTTGTGGTAGGGTGGAAGGTATTTTTGGATTGGGATGGGTGGCTGAGTGGAAAATTGTATCGGTGATTTAAAGTGAAAATACTGCGAGCCGCCACTGATAATCATACCCGCTGTGTAGATTCTATATTTGTATGCGATATCCGCGGCGCACGTCAATTATTTTAATAATGTTTTCAAATTGCGCTTTGGCGGGCAATTATTATTAGAAGCAAACTGTACTTGGTAGGCTATGGTTTGTGAGTTGGGAAGGTAAAATATTAAATTATATAACAGGAGTGAAAATAAGTGTTTCGTGTAAACCTCTCGCCTATAATCATTTGAAATTATATATTTTATAATTATCGCCAGCTGTATATAATTGTTCGGGCATTGGACATAATTTATCGTACGTAATAATATACATCTCGCACGGTCCACTATTTAAATAGTCAATTAACAATTATTATTCGAAATCGTGTTTGTAACAATTATTGCCTATCGCGTTTCGAACGTAATGTTATTATAATATGTACAATCGTGATGGTCAAATACAAAAACGGTCATGGTAGAAATGTCCGAATCGTTCGACTGGCATTTACGTGCATGTCGTACCGTGCCTATCGGTGCCGGCCGGGCCTTTGGTCCACAGACGTTTTCGATTCGGCCACAGTTTACCGAACGACAGCATGCAGTATAATAGCTAACGACCGATATTTTCCCTCAATTTTCGCGATTACGAATCGCATTTGATCCGAACAACAATTTGTAGAACAAAGTTCAATGTTCGGTATTTTTTTTTTTTTTTCATTTCTATTATTACAATTATATAAGTATAGATACTTAGAGAAATGCGTGATAAAGACATGTGTATATGAAACACGATCCACATTCTTTAATCGCTTGAAGATCGGAATTTTTTCTCTTAATATATTTGTAATTTATACAGTGAAAATAAAAAAAATTACTAAGTGTGCCTACATAATAAAGTTGCAGTAAATATATATATTTATTAAAAATTCGTTAGGAAAAAAAATAAATAACAACTGTGTAATATTCTGCGCAAGTACCTATGTATTATAATATTATACTGTAGTCAATGAAACGATTTTCATAATCATTATCTATTTCTGTTGTTAAAAAAACAATAACCTATATATTAATTAGGTAATTATTCGAAAACATTAAATATGTTAAAAAAAAAAACACTATTAACTAATACTAGTTGTAATACAATCGCTAAATGCAGAAAGAAACATTATGTCAATTTTGAATAGCATTGTATAGCATTTATAAAATCACAGAAGAAATTCGTCTAATATTTTACAATTTATTATTAACGCGAAATTTGTTTTTGGTTTTTTTATTCCAGCGCAACTTAACCTAACCTCGAGTATTTTTGTGTACCTTAAATCAATTTTAAAATTTGAACATACGCCCTTTCAGCTGGAGCCAGCTAATAAAGATTCAGATAAAGTCAAACATTGCTGCTCTCAAGACATTTTTATTGGACAGTGAACACCGAAATACGCTTGCCACCGAAAGGCAAAAGTGGCGTCATGTTTTATTAAAAAAAAAAAAAAACCGATTGCGATTATGACGGGTTTCGCGAGGTCCGGCGTCGGATCTATCAACGAAAAACTCCAATAGTCGTTGAAATTCCCTTTGATGTTATTGTCACAAACAATGAAATGTATAATAGATTGAGGAAAGCGGGAAGGCATTAAACCATTGTCACCCATGAAAATCGTCCGCCTTTACTCGTTCAACAAACGTGTTCCTTTCGTCCAAATATGATCAATTAGTTTCCTCATTTCGCCCGCGGTTTCACGTTCAACATTCATGTTTTACATTTATTGTGACTACTTCTTAAGTATTTTCATACGATCTAATTCAATAAAACTATTCAGTGATGTCCAGAGTGCACCGCGAGGGGCCGTATTTTATTATTGATTTTTAATTAATTAAAATCGTAGATAAATTCCGCCAATATTCGCGGTAAACCAATTTTTACCAATCGTATACCGAAACCGGATTTAAAAAAAATAAATAAACTAAAATCATATACGCCAATGACCAAGTTATAGGTTTATGGGTTTATAACATTGCATTCGTTGTTTACTCCTGTTGAACGTGAAACAGCGGACGAAAAGTATGCATTTAATTTGGACGAAAAAAGAAAACTCTAGTTTATCATATTTGGGCGAAAATCATGCCGTCCACCTTTTTTGTCTTTTCTTGTTTATTTTTTTTTTTTTTAATGAGAGAGAAATTCAGTCCATCCGTTTAACTAAACGGCGAAACAAACACGACAGCTAGCAACAGACATTGCGGGCGCGCCGAGATCAGATTTCCGCCGTTTATTGTCAATATTACCGAAAACAAGCAGGTTTGTCGTGGAATCCACGAAACGTAATGTCTAATTGCATCTTATCTAAACGTCGGTGGTCACCGCTAGTTAATTTACTTGTACCCTATCACGGCAACACCGATGTTTCTGGCACTTCCGCTTTCGAATTTCCTTGTTGCCTATGTTATCTTAAAGAAAACAATTAACTTTACTTTATCTATTGTTTTCGGTTCGTTTCCGTTCTATTATTAACAAAAAAATAAAAATAATGAAAGAAATCTCTGGGAGATATTTATTTTCGACTAGCCAGCAAAATCACTCGCAAATCGTTTGCTTTTGTTGTTGTTGTAAACTTTTCTACCAGAAATCTTTTAGTATTTTTGATATTTAGTATAGGCGCATTGAAGAGGCCCTTTTTTTTGTTTTATCAGTTTTCTTAATAGCAGTTTCGCAAAATTTGTTAAAATCGACTTACGAGTTTTTGTTACGTAACCAACCATGTACAGAGTGTAACACGAATATCTGACGCTTCAAATAACTTTTGTATTGGCGTATTCAGGACTTTGCCAAGGTGAGAAATAATTGAATTCGATAATAACTGTATCATATAATTGTGTAACGTGTACCTGGGCTAAAAAAAAGGTATACATATTTTTGCTGTTTAAGAGATTTATAATTCAATCTATCATAAAGTTATCATTGATATCGAATACCTAATTATAGGTGTGGGTTAATAATTATTTAATAATTTAAAAATATTTATCATATAAATAATGGATATAGTGAAAAAAGGTCAAGGGAAAAACATATCTCCAAATTTTTTATTCCTCGTACTGAACTTTCGTTGTGTTCGATATTTTTAAGTTTCCAGTGCCTTGAGCTCAAAATTTTCAAAACTGAAAGTATAATTTGTTTTTTTTTCATAAATATACTATATGAAACTGAATATCGGTATTTACAAATAATTATACGTCTATTTCTATATTTCATAACTAAATGTCTATTTCAAATAATAAAAATTAAACGTTTTTATATTATTTTAAACTATATTTTCTGATTATTTATTTATTGTTAATCTATTGAAAATGATGTATAATTTATTGATATTTAAAATTCGTAGATATATGAAATGTTATTATTTCGTGTTCTTATAGGTACTATTGTTTTTAAATTTAAATTATAAATAAATATAGGTAGTTACTAATTAGTAACTAATAAATTAGGGATGGTGCGAGTATAAAATACAAATATAAAGTTTTATTAAAATTATACATTTTCGTTATCTACCGGTTTAACATTGTCAATTTTCTGTTTGACGGTGACATTTAACAAAACCTCAGTCGTTGAAATTTGATAAGCTTGCTACAGCTTCACGCATGGATACAAATGTGTCTTCGAGTACGTTACTATCTTCCAAATCGTTATTTGAAATCATATTTTATAGATAGTAGGTTCTCATACAACAACGTATGTAATTTTTCAAAGGTAAAAACCTATGGAAATTATAGTTTTACACTGTTGGGTTGAATAATTTAATATAAAAGTTTAGTTTAAATTTTAAAACAATATAACAACGTTTCATTTGTATTATTTGTCCGGCTTGAAATAAACATTTAGTTAGTGTCTATAGGCATTAGTTAAATGTTTAGGCGTATAATAAAATCGTATATAAATTTAATTATTTGATTTATTTGATTCTTTATTTGCTATGCGGTTTCCGCAAAGGTAAGTCAATAGTGAAACAACTCTCGATAGTCAGATAAATTTTTGAGAAAAAATATGAATACCGTTAACTTTTTTTGCATATATTTGTGGACTTAATGAAAAGCGTATGATAGCATATATAGAGAAAGTCTCTATAATATTATGGAAGAATTTTGAATATCTAATAAGCTTGTGACACTTACCAAAATGTGTATGGAAGGAACTAAATACCAGGTAAGGGTTGACAGCACATTATCTGAGGCTTTCACAGAATAAACCGGCTCAAAACAAGATGAAGCACTATACTCGCTTCTGTTTAATTTAGCGTTAGACAAAACAGTGAGAATGATGCAAATTGAAACAAGTAGGATAACGGTCAATGATCACCGAGTGAAGATTCTAGGTTAAGTGGATGATCTGAATATCCCTAATGAATCACGGCTGGTTGCTTTAGATTTAACCACGGCTCTCGAAAGGGCCACAGAAAAAGTTGGATTACGAACTAATGTAGAACACACAAAAATAATAGAGCCTCTCGACGGAGAACCATACCAAAACTAATAGCTACAAAAGCTAATAATAGCTTTTGAACAAATTAAAAAATGTCAATACTTAGGAATACTGGTCAGTACAAAAAACGAATGGTCACGTGAGGTTAATGTGAGGATAGCAAAGGCAGGAAGAGTTACTTTTGCACTGTCCAAATTCCTCAAATCCAAACGTCTATCTAAGGAAAAAAAACCAGAACGCACACGGCAATAATTAGACCTACTCTCACTTATATGGATATAAAGTACGGACATCGAAAACTGTGACAATAAGACGATGTAGGTCTTTTGAAAATATACATTATGGAGGATAATAAACGAAACAATTAACCAGTTAAGAACTGGGCTTAGCACCAGTCTCTATAGTTACATAAAATGACAAATTATGCAGCGATCGGGCCATAATTGATATAATTATGAAAATGAGCGATGAAGAAACCGACAGATCAATCGCGGAATGTAAAAGACCTCGTGGCAGTCCGAGGAAGTAGTAGAGGTGGCTAGGCGTAGAACAGAATCTTAAAGCTCTGGGAATGCAACCATAGAAGGAAATTTGTTCGCGGATCGTGAGAAAAACGGAGCGAAGTAGCGACAAAGTCTCTAATAGAGCCGTCAACGCCAGCGAAGAAGTAGAAGAAGAAGAAAAAAATGATTTTCCTGGACCGTTTAGTATAAAACGCTCGATTCAACTGTACATTTCGATGCCTACGACGTATTATCATAAATTATAAACGGTTTGACTGGGTCGCGGCTATTATTTTTGTAATGATAATATAATATTCTAAAATTCAGCGTTCGTGGTTTTCTTTTTTTTTTTTATCGGTGCGCAACCGTGTTTTGTGTATTTGGCTGTCGATAACACGATCTCCGCGCGTAAAAGTCGTTTTCTCTCCGCGCTGACGGCGGCGGCGACGACGGTGACACCTGCGGCCGCTGCCGGCGCCGTTTGCGCGTGTCGGGTGCCATCTAATAGGCGGCCTCTAATACGTATTACACACGAGCGAAACCGCGTTTAAGAAAAAAAAAAAAAATTAAAAAAATACGACGGTTAGGCATAATACAACGCACTACATTATCGGTACGATGCAGTATACGGAGGGGAACGGGTAATATAGCGGCGACGCGAAACGACCGTGCCAGACAGAAAAACGATTATCAGCCTGTACAAGTAACAGTTGCACAATTAATGGTATTCACCGTGCGCGCGCCTATATAGGTATGTGCGTTTACGAAAAACTGCATCGCGGCGCACCCGTTTCGAGCCTATATAGAAGGGAAAAAAAACCTACCTATACCGGTCGAAAATCACCGAAATTTTTACGTCACACGAATAAAATACACATATATATATATACATAAATATGTTGTTTTTTTTACACGTACCTACGTATAATAGCTACGATAAAACAACTTTTAACGAAAGCAGCCTACGAGTTTTACGTCACCTCTGTCGTCCATTAACCGCCTATAATATATTATTATCATAATAGTATGCAGAGTAGGTATCTATTATGTACACGGGCGCCAACAGAAAATCATCTATCGGAGGGGAGGAGCATAATAAAAGCAAACAGCGAAAAATACTTGAAATATAATTAATTTTGAAATTTCGAAGTCCGGGGGGGAGGGGGGCAGGTGGCTCGTATTACCCCCGTCAGGCACGCCCGTGAGTATATATAATGAAAACAATGCGATAATTAGCGAGGACCGTGGGGAGAAACCGAGGGCCCCGACGAACCCTTCAAATATATAATGTCGAATATCAAACTCTTCGCGCTAACGTCCAATCCTTTAGAATGCGTATGACGTATGCGTAAGAGCGTTTACGGTTGAATGTATTCAAAAGCGAAAAAACCGTATTGTGACCAACACACCGCGTATTACGGTACAAAGTAATTATTATATTGCCAACATTCGATTTTCGATATAATATTGTGCAGTATATTCGTTTATCAAAGTGAAATCAAAAACACAAACAATTTTCGTATTAATATTGTGAACATTGGGAAAAATATAGGACCCGGTTACTTTGGTCGGACTATAGGGCTGCAGCCCCGGCTGACCACCCTCCTCTCTCGTTGGACCCGATTATCGCTGTCGTTACGAAAACGGCGACGGTTTTCTACACAATATTACGGATATGCGGTAACGAAAATCGACAGTTTACGTCCGACGCGTGCCGTTGTTACAGTACAGACGGGCGCACGCTGAGAAAATAATAATTATCATCTGTGCAGTCGATATTAAAATATCAACGGACGATGCGCATATTGCCACACCGTATGCTCACCGTTGGCGGAAATTGTGAGGGGGTGGGTGGTGTGGTGATTGTGGGGTTAAATTGGTAATTTGGAGGGGACTAGTTTCTCCGTTATTTATGAGTTTTGAACGGGCATAAATCCCTCGATCACCCCCCCCCCTCCCAGCGATTTCCACCAACGGACTGCGCACGGGCGACACGATAATATATTATTACGAAACGGTTAATAATATATTATACTAATGGTTACGATGACAACAATTTTATGTCGGCACGCGCAATCAGCGACCTCGCGCAGCTTACGAAATTAGTGCGGCGGGAAAAATCCGTAGTTCGCAAATCCGGGGTTCTCTCGGCGCGCGAATATTTGTTTGAAAAAAACTCTTCGCCGTTTACCGTGGTAAAACCGTAACGAAAAAAAAAAAAAACTCGGACTATTTAAATCCGCGTTTTTCGGATTAACCGATAATCCGGATTTACGTCACGCCAGTCGGTGAAGTACGTGGTTAGGTTATAGGTTGCGCTACACGCGATATCGTTATTGTTCCTGTTGTATTGTTTACTGCAAGGACGAGTGGAAACCGAGTACGTACAGGTATTTCTGTTACGGGGTGGGGTGGTGGTGGGGGTGTCCGTTTTAAATAACGGACCGTGCTAAGGTGAAAGAAGAGGGACAAACGGGGCGACTGCCCTAGGGCTCCGAATGCGCCGCAGTTTTCGGTTTTAGGCGCTAAACGTGACGCAGTGTTAGCACGGCCGCGGCTGATACCGAATTGGTTCCCGATCCTATTTGTTTGATACCGAGTCGGTTGCCGTACCTATCTAATTTTTCGATCGATCTCGTCGGCAGTTTGCACCAAACTATACCTACCCATAATCTATTCGCACGCGTACAACAGTTATCCGATTATCGAGTATTCAATCGTATAAATGTTTTTCGCGTATTACCGATATTCGATGTATTTTAAGGTGGATAATATAGAACGTTTTTTTTTGTACAACGGGCTTAGTGAGTTAATCGGCAATCTAAAACGGAATACCCTGTTATTAGCTTCATATCTTAAATTCATACGCGTGTAGGCAATAGCGCCAGAGTCCTAAATATGTAGTCGGGTGAAATACATTTCAAGAGAACCGCCCAGTAACTATAAACAGCCCGTTTTATTTCCGATATTATTGGTAGCATAGGTTTTTATTCCTGTGTTCGTTCGGTTTGGCAGCCGAACTTAGCCCCCGAAATGAAGCAGTTCTACACTTAATTTTTAAAAAAAAAAGTTGGGCCGAGGCTTTCTGGTCATGTAAAAGATACTTTATGTCCAAGTACAGATACTGATACCTATTTTCAAAAGTATTTGAAATAAACTGGGTAAAAAAAGTATTTACAGATACTTTTAAATACTTTCATAATATTTAAACGAAATTTCTCGTCACCTTATAAATCAATTGAGCGGGGCTTTTTTTCATGCTGTTGTTCAAAATTCAACCATATGCGATAAAGCTATGTAAACTGAACTATACCTGCAGTTACCACAATCCCAGAATTCACACACAATTAACAAACGCATACATACTTTTACTTTCGAGTGTACTTTCCAACGCCCCGGTAACTTATTATGATATTAACCGTTACAGTGCCGTTGATATAATTGTTCGGTTTTTAATTGTAAATTATAAAACCACTATTGGAAACGCATAAGTATTGTTATTATGAACGACCGTAGGCGCATTATACTGTTTTATTGTGTCGAACGCGATTGCGATCGCGGCCGACGATATTCTGCGACGGGCAAACTATTAAGATCGCGACACACGGCACTCTCGTCCGTGTCGCGCATAGCTTTAACGTTTTAGAAACTCCGCCGCGGATTCCCGTATCGATTCGTGTATTTGATTGACGTACGTTCGATACAAGTATAGCGAATTTTACGGGCAGCGGAAAAGGAAACCGGTAAACTGTCGAACGTTGAAAGTTATAGTGAATTCGGTTTTCAGAAAGAAAAAAACACCCGACAGACACCGAGACGGTGGATCCGTACAAAGCCTATCGTAAAGCGCACGCAAAACCGAGAAGACGTGATCTACTCGAATGACGAATTTTTACGAAAGAACGAAACCGATTCGACCGAGTATGGATTCCGGTGTATTTCGGCACACTGTGGCGGACAGTGTTGTACAATAATGCGTGCCATCGCGTTTGTTACGGTACTTGACCGGGGATAACGAATTTGTTATCTTCTTTGTCGTCCACGTCTCTCCCATACGCCTCTCCCTTACACCCCTCTGAAAATGACCGCGAACTCTCGCGGGACCGGCCACAGACGTGCAGCAACGTGCAAAGTTGACATTGTTGACGGCGGCGCCACACAGCGATAGAATTTCACGTTTTCGCACGTTCGTTTACGCACCCGGACGATGGCTTCGATTGTCAAAATCCCTTTTCGGTTTACACCAGCAGTGGCTGATTTACGACCCGTTCACCTCTCCCTCCCCCCTCCTAGACACAGATACGATTTCGATGGAATGTCGTCTGAAAATGGACGCTTATTAAAAAACATCTTTGGAATATCGTTACGAACGGATTTCCGAGACCCCTCGCGGGAGAACGTCGAAAATCCGTCGCCGTATACGCCCGCGTTAATACGCCGGTCTCTTATAATGTTATGCTGTAAATGCTATAAAATATACGTGTTTTCTGCATTGTTCGCGCGAACCTTAACCTAACCGTCGACCCCGTTTCGTTGACGGGGTCGGGGCGGAAAAAAAAATAAAAAAAACCGAAACCAACCTCGATGACTATATATAAATATACGGGGGAGGGGTGGAAGGCGCCCTCACAAAAACATATTATATACATGGCGGTCGGTATTCGATTCACGCGGTCCTGTACAACTGTTACGCCTACAACGTGCGCGACAACCGGTAAAACGATAATAATAACAATAATAAAAATGAAAAAATGAAAAAAAAATCGCGAAACAACGCGACGGGTCCGGGACGCGCGGGTATCAAAGCGGAACACACGTACCTTTCGGCGGCGGGATATTCGCTGATGGCCGTGCGGTCGCGGCGCCGTGACCGTCGTCGTCGTCGTCGTCGTCGTCGTCGTCGTCGTTGACAGTGGCGTCCGTCGTCGCTGCCGGTGGTGTCCGTCGTTCGGTCGGTCGGTCGGTCGGTGTCTTCGTCACGTGCGGTCGCCCCGTATGCGTGCGTGTATTGTGGTCGTCGTCGGCGGCTCGGAGACGTGTGTGCGACGGTTTCGGCTCGGTCGTTATTTTATACGACACAAATGTGATATTGAATTATATTTGTATAGTGGTGTGCGCGGCGCGCGTCCGAATGAAACGAATGAATGGACGAGACGAGACGACGGATTTAGAGCTAGATACCTATTATACGATCTGTCCGCGTACGCGCAGCGGCGGCTATATAGTTGGCGCGGCGGCGAGTCGGAAGGCTAACTTTCGTCAGCCGCGACGCGTGCAAGAGCGACGGCGGTGGTGGTGGTAGCAGCGGCGGCGGCGGCGGCGGCGGCGGCGGCGGTGGTGGTGCGGCGGTTAGGTCGCCGTCGTCGGTATGGTCGTGGATGATGACCGTGGTACCGGACCGGTCACTTTATAACGTGTGTGTGTGTGTGTGTGTGTGTGTGTGTGTTTGTGAGCGCGTGGTGTATTATATTATTATTATTATTATTATTATTATTATTATTGTACGTGTATGTAATTTTTCGGTGGCCGCGGGTGCCCGTAATTATTATCATTCAGTTCGCCGAACGGAATGGACGGAAAAAAAAAAAATAATAAATAAACAAATAAATATTACGCGGGCGCGCGCCGGAGACCGTAAACGTGCGAACGGTTACGATTATCAATATTGTTGTTGTTCGACGGGACCCGCGCGGAACGACCGGGCCACCTGTTGTTCGCTGGTGCGCTGCGTGCAAACGAATAAATGACATACGATTTAGGTACTATGATAAATAATATACCGATGTTGCGCCTCTTAAGACATGTCACAATATCGCTAAATAGCCGATTATATAATAAAATACGATTCGATTTCGACGGGCGACGACGGGCGCCCAAACGCGGTGTATTATTGAGGAAAAAAAAAAAAAAAAAACGGCGCGATAATACCGCAACGCAATGATATTGTTGTAATAAAATTATAATGTGCGACGCGTGATGATAATTGACGGAACGTTTTGCTCGCGCGCGCGCACACACACAGTACGCACGCCACTTAAAAACGCGGAGCGCGGGAGTGAAAATGTTAGCGTGCGTAAATAGTATAATATCGCATCGGTTATATTATAACATTTGATTTGGGTACACACTCGTTATATCGGAAAGTATTGACTTTTTCGGAATTTTTCTTCAAGAATATCTAAGCATACGGGCAGCTCTACAATTTTGTATGTTTATGTTGCTTTTCGGAGGTAAAACCACTGTCCACTATTAATTTTCAAACGGCAACCAGCTAATGAAAATTCCATAAACAGATGGATTATTCGTTAAAACAATTTCAGTGTTGACATTTTCGATTTCCGTCGATCCGTTGACGAGATATTCCACTTTTAAGTTTAGGTTGGTGGACAGTAGACGGATTATCATTTTGGTGGCGGTACGGCGCGCGGCGTGTTAATAACGCACCAATACTCTCCTCCGACCAAAAACACGAAAAGGCGAATCGTCTCGTCAACGGTTTGAAAGAAATCAAAAATGTCAACACTAAAATTCGTCTCAACAAATACTCCGTCCGTTTGTGGTATTTTGAATACAGGTTGCCGTTTGAAAATCAAAATTAGGTAGTCGTTTCACCCCCGAAAATAAGGGTGACGAAAAATAACGCAGATGTAAAACGAAGCTCGTTTCTCGGATGTTCTAGAAAACAAATCCCGGAAAATAGTGTATACTTTCCCAGATAATGAGTGCACCCATTAAAATGGATCACCACCTGGTACACACCGAACGAAATATTATAATCGCCGACGACGACGACGACGACGACGTTATATTATTATTATAATGTGTTATAGATTAATAAATTATTATACACGTACACGCCGCGAGATTAACGGCGCAATTAACCCAGTGTCAGGCTGCCGTGCGATATCGCGCGCGCATAAATTACCGATCGAATACCGAGTGCGATAACCGTCCCGTTCCCCACGAACGCCGGCTTCGGTTATTATAATGCGTATCATACAACTGCCGTGCGTGCCGTGGTTTTCCGAACTGCGAAGGAGAGGACGGGGGCGAGAGGACTCGAGCGAAAAAAATAAAGATAAAGCCGACACTTATAGGGACGGGTGCGGCCACTGTTGCGGATGGGAAGATGGGAAGGTACGGTATGGAGGGGATAATTAAATTTTAGATTCTGAGCGGAGCTCAGTTATTGGTTTAACCCTTTAACGCGCATACCTGGAAGAAAATTCCGTGAATAAGATAACCGTGGCGTCCATGGAAGCCACCGTTGGAAAAACTCGTGTGCGCAAAATTATATTTGAAAATTCAAATTGTATGTAACTGTGGCATGTATTATATAGTAGCCACTTATTTATCAATATAAAAACCGCAGTAAAATTAATTTGTTTCTGGTTATGTTTATCAATATCTATAAAATCTTCTTTTCTTTTCAAATATGTGTAACCGAACTCTGCTCAGAATCGTTTTCCGTTAGCAAATATTAATCGTTGCGTACAGTATACATTAAATTCCCCTTTATATCTTACCTTCCCAACTTCTCACCTAAAATAGTGGCCCACCCGTCGTGCGAAGTATGTCCGTATTTTTTATCTGTGTACGTCACGATTAATCATTATTAACAAAAAACTATTCTGTACGGAACTCGATCATTATAATATTGCTTTTCAACAACTTGCGTTGTCACGACAACAACGATTGTTCGAAAAAGATTATAAAAGAGATAAAAAGATTGGTGCACGATTTCTAGGATAAAAGTTGTTTACAGACAGAAAAAATACACAATATCATAGTAAATCCAATAGATTCTTCCACTCGGAATTTAAAAACAAACGTCGTCATAAAACTAGTAATCAGGGTTCGGAGTTGAAATGTCCGGAAGAAAAATGTGGCCCCGGGATTAAATTATAAATTTATTCGCCGCAATCGTAAATATCCGTCCATTAGCAGTCACTAGTTATCCATTGGCGTGCCGAATAATTTCTACACTCGAGGTAAAACCAAAATATTAGTACCCGCCTAAAACATGGATTTTTATAATATGTCCTATAAATCATTTTTTATTTTACAGTAAAATCTTATTTAGCTACATTAATTATTATTAAGTATAGACTTTCATATTCGGATGTAGGTGAAGATGAAGAGGAAGGAAAACTTCCACTGCGCCTCCATCCTGACTATTTGAGGTCAGCCATTCATATGGATGTATATATTTATTATATATACACGACTAAAGGCATCTCTGAACTGGTTGATCTTAACTTTTAATCGACATTCAACATATTCGGTTTCTTTTAAAACTTCTACTTCTACACGCCACTAGTGATCCCTATCGCGTTTCATGGTTTCAATTATCCACACAAAAATTACTTAGTTTTGCAAACACCTACTCAATTTCGATCAACCAAATGTTACCCTATACTATTAGCTTTTAAGCATAAAAAGTATTTTCCAATATGTAGGCACAATTTGAAACACTAGACTCGAAAAAAAAAATGAATGTATTCGCACAGACTTTGTAATACGCATTTGTACGCATTTTCAGATATAAACTGTAGCGCAAAGGCATACTAATTATTTAAAGAGAAAATATATCAAAAATATTGAATAAGTGAAAAATAAGTTATTTCAAGTGGAAGATCATCGTGTGACACTCTGTATATACAATCAGTTTAACTAGTTATAGCTTAAAGAAGACGTGCAAACTTTTTATACGTCTGTAATTTGTAATTGCGTAGTGTGTTTGTTTGCGAATTAAAATGAATAAATAATATTGCATGGAACGTAACCTCCACGGATAACGAGGGATTATTTTGTACAATTGATTATTTGACATTTTTTTATTACCGCATGTTGTACTTTGAAAGCATAATTTATGATGGCAATGATAAATGGTTATAATAAATATAGTAACAATCGTAGAGGTAATAATATGATATGACTAAATTAACAACGGCCATGGAAAAAATTGCCGAATTTTTTTCATCTGGTCATTTTCGCATACGGTCACTTCATTTTTAGAATCTTTATTAGCGCAAATATTTTGATCTATATGTACCTAAGTATATGTTTATATTTATATTTTGATGTGTTTGTCGTAGGCCATATGAAAAGTTAGCATTTTTGCTAATAGCTACCCCGTTATAAAGAGCCTAGTCTTTTTGCAAAAAGAACAATTTTCCATACGGCCTCCGACATATACATTTATAAGTGATGACGGCGCGACCAAGAGTTTTTAAACATGAGTGATAATGACGTATGTCTACGTGCTAAAAATAAAAAACACTGGTTTATAATAAATTTGTCTTGTTACTCTTAAACACGGATGGAGGAGTGTGCACAAACGCCCAAAACACCTCCCCCTCTATTGGTCGCGGCATTGGTCCCGGGGAAGTTTTCAATTCAAGCAAATAACACATATTGAGCATATATTATTGCTAAATTGCGTAATGTTAAATGGCTTAATAATCACTAAACGGCTAAATTACTACATAATAAAAACGACTTGTTGATCAATGTTGACCATTGTTTGCCAAACGAAAAGTGCATCGCGGTGACTATTGAGACGTTTAAATTCGCAGTACAGCGTGTGTTTAAAATAAATAATACGTGCGCATATTATGCCATTTAAACTTGCAAAACCAAAATTACACGCGACAAAATGATATACTTAAAAAATAAATTAAAATGTGAAAAATATATCCCATCGTCCGTTCCTATATATTATACAACGGCGCGATTTACCGAAACCGCAAAATTTCGCAACAGCTTGCGGTAATTCGAAAAATACAAATTTATCTTCTATATTACATTCGCCATTGGTGCATACGTCATTAATTATTCGCGTTTGTACCTTGTGTATGAAAATATGTTCGATAGTTGACTTTTGTAAATATTTTTTTTTTTTTTTTTAAGTTTTATCGGTTTTATCGAGTTTTACACGTACATATATAGAGGGGCCCACGGTATCTAACAGTCCGAAATAAAATTTATAATTTTACTATAACTTAAAAAAAAAAGTTCAAAATAGATTTTCAGAACATTTTTGGTGGTTGAAATTTTCGTCAAGTTATCGAATTTATTTTTTATAATCAATATTTTTAAGTTTTGGCAAATGTAAATATTATACAGGCTGTATCAGAAAAGACTGGCCAACTCTACGGATTGTGACTCTATATGTGGCTATAAGAATTGGTTTTTTGGAATTATTTGTTTTCTTAACAAAACTTTGGTTTTACTCGTTTTATTTGTAAAATACCCATACAAAATAAAAATAAATCATTCCAGAGAATTTATCGCAAAATTCTCTTACGAAATAAGGGGTCACTCGATTTTTTCCAAAAATAATCATTATCACCGCTATTTTTGGCTTATCATGTCCAAAATCGTAATTTTTGTGTGACACATGAATTTGTATGTAAATTTGTCAGGTATTTCAATGGAATAAATTATTTTGTATTTAAGCGTCAATTTAACGATCCTATCCGTAAAATACGACTCATTTGACTGTAAAAAACATTTAAAAAAAATGCATAAATTCAGTTGTTTTTATTGAATTGTTTTATAATAAATTATTATCAGATATCAAAGAAATAATGTTTAAAGTAAATGTTCAATGTGACCTTCGTGTGCTTCAATACATTTTAAAAGTCGTTCATGGAATGACCTCCAAACATTTTCAATTAGTTCTGGAGTTCGCATAATTTTTTCTGCAGCATAATTTATTCGCTCATTAAGTTGCTCCCTACTAGTTAGTTCTCAATCATAAACCTGCTCCTTCATGTACCCCCATAGAAAAAAGTCACATGGGTTGAAGTCAGGATTTCGGGGTGGTCATATTATATCTGGATGAATTATAGCATTGTTACCCGCATGTCTTCCAATAATGCGACCAAGAAATAAATAATGGAGTTGCTCTCTGACCTCTATCGTGTGATGAGATGGGGCTCTATCTAACATAAACCCCATTGTTTCCTGTTCTTCATTAGGAATATTTTCTAATGTTATGGGTAAAGTGTACATAAGACAATTTTGAAAATCGCGTCCATTTAACCTAGGTGGTAAAACATGAGGTCCCAACAAATAATTTCCAATAATACCGCACCAAATATTTATACTAAATTTGTACTGTGATCTTCCTATTCGTATAGCATGTGGATTTTCTTCAGCCCATAAATGAGAATTATGCTGGTTGAAAATACCATCTTTTGTGAAACCAGCCTCGTCGGTTAATAAGATGTTCGAAAAAAAATTTGGATTTTCCGTTCTTCGATTTATCATATCGGTTGCGAAATTTAGTCTGGCGATATTATCACGTGGCAGCAACTCCTGTACTCTTTGTCTATGATAGGGGTGTAAATTATTATCATTTAATATCCTCCACACACTCATTATAAATAATCCTCTTCTTGCTGAAATACGCCGACAGCTAGTTTCGGAATCTACACGAACAATATTAAGAACTCTTTCCTCATTTCGGGTATTACGAACACGTCTTTCAACTCCCCCATTAAGATTAACTGGTACAACTGGCCCTAAATTAAACCATAAATTAATTTAAATTGCAATTAAATGTATTGAAGTACACGGAGGTCATATTGAACATTTACTTTATATATTATTTCTTTATTATCTGATAATAATTAATTATAAAACAATTCAATAAAAACAACTGAATTTATGCATTTTTTTTTTTAATGTTTTTTTACAGTCAAATAAGTCGTATTTTACGGATAGGATCGTTGAATTGACGCTTAAATACAAAATAATTCCAAAATATAAATATTCCATTTAAATCCCTGACAAATTTACATACAAATTCATGCGTCACACGAAAATTACGATTTTGGACATGACAAGCCAAAAATAGTAGTGATAATGATTATTTTTGGAAAAAATCGAGTGACCCCTTATTTCGTAGGAGAATTTTGCGATTAATTCTCTGGAATGGTTTATTTTTATTTTGTATGGGTATTTTTAAAATAAAACGGGTAAAATCAAAGTTTTGATAAGAAAACAAAAATTCCAAAAAACCAATTCTTATAGCCACATATAGAGCCACAATCCGTTGAGTTGGCCAGTCTTTTCTGATACACTCTGTATAATATAGATTATAAATCACAATAATATTCATATTTGCAAAAAATTCAAAACAATTGTAGAAAATATATACCACACCTAAACAGAAGTTTCAACCATCAAAAATTTTCTAAAAATCTATATTATAAAATGGCTTTTTTAAATTTTTTTTTTTAAGTTATAGTCAAATTTTGCAATTTAAATTTGAATTTCCTGTCACTAAAAAAATTTTAAAAAATGTATTAACTGTAGAGTAGAGGCATAATAATTTCAAATAATATATACAATGTTATATATATCATGATTTTAGCATGAGCTAGTTATATTATATTATAGACACCATCATTAGATTTAATTAGTTCTTGAATTTAATTTATATTTGATAATTTGATAATAATAACGATATTGACAGCCGGATGACAAAATATACTCTCCCACCTTTTCTCCGTAAATACTTCCCGGCCTAATCTTTTTCACGCCAGAGTTCTTCCTCGCGCCGAAACGTACGTTTCTCTTCTCATGCATGTTTTTTCAGTGTCAATAAACACTATCGTAAATATACTCATGTTTTACTTCAACATCACTACTATAGAAGCAACGTGTTGTATACAAGTATAATACAATTTTTACAGTTCAATACTGTTGCTGAAGAAATTCCATTGAAAATAGGTAAAGATATTATTATTACGTATATGAATTTCCTATGGTTATAGGACGTAATAAATAATCTAGGTGGTCAGCGGGGCTATATCATTCTTAACTCTTCCCCCCTAAAAGTTCATTTGTTACAAATTACAAGCAAAATAATTAAACAAAACAACAGTTATTTCAAGTGGTAGAGCATCGTGGGACGAATGCGTACCCAAATGAATTCCCGAATTTATACCCCACATGCTGAATTGGTTCCATTTTGAAAAAGGTACATTATTATGAAGGTGAGCTGAATATTTAAAAGGACGTTATACCTACATCTACTGTCTCAGTCCAACCACCGGGTAACATACATGAACAATGCTTACGCAGATTAAGTAAAACTAGTTTAATTTTGATTTTAGAGTAAAAGTAATGATTATGAAATATATAGAAAACAAAATTTTGGAGGGACTTTCATGTTTTTGTATTATTCAAAATATACAGTTCGATATAAAAGATACGAAAATCTATATTTTTTTGCTTTTTTAAATGTAACTGTAATTAAACTGTAACTATTAATAGTTCATTATTCAAAATACACCGATGACATTCCCTTCGAAATATTGTTCTCTATATATTTCAAAATTGATACTTTTACTCTAAAATCAAAATTAAGCTAGTTTTACTTATTCTGCGTAAGCATGTTTTTATATGTTACCCGGTAGTTGGACTGAGACATTAGATGAGGGTATAACTTCCTCTTAATATATACATTTGTACAATAAATAAAATAAATGTTGGTATAATGTAGTACATTTTATACACTTTTATTTAAATTTTATCGTACTGCGGCGGGTATTTTACAGTTATAAAGGTAATAAGATTATGTTATATCGGCGTATTAGTAATGTATTTAGGACTATTCTAAGGAAGAAGATATTGAATTCGAAAATTGTGTCATATTGAAAAACGTGTACTCAGGCTAAAAGAAGAATCAATTTTTAATCAATACATGTTTGTAAATAACGTACGATTTTATGTATACTTAGATGAATAATTATTATTAACCAATTTATTATTTATAAGTACTAATCTAATCTTCTTCATATTTTTGTTGTTTAAATATAGGTTTCGTTTTCAACAAGATAGTGTATACGTTCAAGTTTTTTTTTTTTTATAAATTACCTTACAATATCTCATTAACTGGAGGTAGATACCGACACATCAAAGTTATTATTTTTCTGAATAAAAAGTAAAGAAATTTGAATTTAATAATGGATTGTCATATAAATAATAGATTCATGAGGGGAGATATATCTCCCTAAACTCCTCCCATAAATACGCCATAAATACGCCTCAAGTTTATAGAGCACCGAGGTAACTATAATGGTAACACTATGAATCTATTTGGTTATTTTTGTTATTATTCATTTTTAATGATAATATTATAGTATCATGATAAGCAAGAATATGATGGAAGTAAGAAAAGTTCATGAAGTCATGGCATTGTAAAAATTAGAAAAAAATTTAAAAAATACAACATTTTAGAGTTTGTGTATATAAAATGGGAGGGATATTGTGGTTGGTTAAATAAATGATATTAATTTGAAGATAAAAAATGAATTTAAAATAAAAAGTGTAGAAAAATTTACATACAAAAGGGGACCGTACTCGACATAAAATCACTCGTGGTTCTTTTATACAACAGCACTTTCAATAATTATGCTGCTATTACTCATAAAAATAAAATCATAGATTAATCTATTTATTAATCAATGATGCTATTAAGTATGATACATTTTGTGATAAAAATAAAAATTAATACACTCAATAAAACTGCCGCCCCTGAAACAATTAAAATTTTGCCGCTTGGGTCATTCGTCCCCCCTCCTCTAAATGTAATTTGTTTCACAATTGAATGCTTTTTTAGACAACCTGATGGTTGTATGAATCGACAAAAAGTCAACTGTCTTCGATTAAAAGAACGTTATACCCGCACAGGCACGTGTATAAAGGGGGGTGGTGGTCAGAACCCCCTCCTCTCGAAATTTCATGGAAATTTTGATGAAAGTAGATTTTTAGTGTATTGATGTATTGAACGTTATATTCGGAATAATAATTAGAATAATTACCGCATCGCGTTTTGGTCTCTGGAATATTGTTCTCTTTTAATTTCACAATAAATGATTTTACTCTCAAAACCAAAACCAAACAAGTTCTACGCAGTCTACATTTGGTCGATTTTGCTGTATTGCCCGTTTGTTAGACCGGGATAGCACACGTAGGTGTGACATCATTTTAAGAGGATCATCTTTATTCGTTGGCAAAATACTGTACAGAAAAACAAAACGTTTTGACGATATCGTAACCAAGTATAGCAAACATTGCAGCAAACCGTTTACTGTAGAAAACTGCATCGCCTAAACACTGCTATTGTTTTCGATTCCCTTATAGAACCTTGGTTGCCGAAAAGTGCAATCGATTATCAATCCTCGAAACTGCATTGCCAAAACACGCCTAATATTATACTGCTACACATTGTAATAAACAATTGTAGAAATAATTTATTGAATTTTAAAAAAAGCGGACATCCTTCGCGCGTTGCAGAGCAAACCGCTGTTTTTAAAAACGCAATAGGTATTTATAATATATATAAGTATATAATATTAATCATAATTCATTACCTATTTTAAATATTGAATGTGTACCACCATTATCATTTTATTAGTATATACTCGTATGTAGATAATTTTACAATCTAATACCAATTATTATGTATATATATATATATATATAAAATTAAAAAAAATTAAATAAATAAATACTTACCAAAGTGAATAAACGTTTTTATATACATATTATAATATGAAAGAAGGAAAAAATATATTTGGAGGTTAATATTTGAAAAAAAAAAATATAAATATACACAAAATATTTAAATAGCTAAAAGTAATGAATAATAATATATTTAATAAAAAATATATAACCTAGAAAAATAAATAAATATGTACGCGCCGCAGCGCTAATACTGCAATAATAGTGTGTACTCCTACATTTTTGAAAAGTGTCTACGAAATGTAATAATTAACAGATCACTATAGAAAAAAAATTAAATAAACGCAGGCGAAGGTAATTAAATCTATAATCTATAATTCCCGAGTTTACGGATAGGTATACATTCTAAACAATTAAAATACCTCGTGTTCGATCCGACAGCGGTGGGGTTTTTTTTTTTCACAATACCTTCCCGGCAGTCCGTCGTGGTTACCTTCGGGTTATACGGTACATGATTTAACCGTATGCGACAATATTCGTGATTTCCAAGACACGTCCATTATATAATTCGGTGGTTTTTATTATATTTATTAATTCAAAATTATTGTTATTATGAAACCGAAATGCCCAGAAAACAAGATGATATTATTGTAAATAAATAATAATAATTACGGACTAAAACAGAATGGTCACGAAAGTACACGGATGGCGGGCGGGTGACGGTGAGGATGGCCTGACAAGGTTTTTGACTTTTGCGAAATAATTTTGTTATCCGGGTTTTCTCGATTCTTTTGAAAACCCCTCGGAAAACCAAAAATTACCCTTTTAACGCACCAACTTTCCTTACTCCGTTATATACGACGTAGATCCTTTTCTGAAAGGAAATTTTCTTGGGGTGGTACTTTAAGGAGGTTATTTTTCGATTTTCTAAGAAGTTTTCTCATCAAATGTGAAGAACCGAAAAAAAAATGGGAAAAAACGGGAAAATGTACTGAATATATTAGTAAAATATAACGATTTTTTTTTTCTGTGGACAATTATTCTACTAGGAATTTTGTTCCGATTTACAATGATAGTACTTTTTTGGAAGGAAATCTGAATGGGATGATAATTTAGGGAGGCAATTTTTCCCAAGAGTTTTCCCAGTAAATGATAAACCATTGCTTACGAAAAAACGATCTTCAGCGGAGTTCAGTTGATGCTTTGTCAACAATATATATGTCATTATATAGTAAAATAATTAAAAAGGTTATATAAATTTTCTTAAATAATATTTGCTTAATATTGTACCGATTTTCTCAGTTTTCTAACTTTTTTCTCGGTTTTCCCATGTTTTATGCCGGTTTTTCACATTTACTGGGAAAACTCTTGGGAAAATCAAAAATAACTTCTTTAAAGTATATTGCTATCATTAAAAGTTGGAGCGAAATTGCTGGTAGAAAAGTTGTGCACAGAAAAAAGAATCGTAATATATTTCGTGCATTTTCCCATTTCTCCTCTATTTTTTTTATGCGGTTTTTCAAATTTTGATATGAAAACTCCTTAGAAAATCTAAAAATTATCCCCTAAAGTACCTTCTCACATCGATTTCCTCTCAGAAAAAGTGCTACATATACAAATCTGAACAAGTCTTCTGGTAGAAAAGTTGCACACAGGTAAAAACTATTCACTCCACTCAGAATATAATAAAATATACATAAATATATTTTGTTATATTTAGTGGTTTTTTTTTTATTTTGTAGGACCTGTTTTGCTTTCAAAAATCATCATCAAAGTTATGCATAATCTAAAAATAACAAAAGGTGGATAAAATAGAAATGCTTAAAACTCGACAGGAAGTTCATCATGGGCTGTACTTAGTGGTCAACAAAAAAAAAAAAAAAAATTTTACAATAATTTTTTTTTATAAGAGTTAAAATTAAATTTTGACGAAAATCTTGACACATATTACGGCCTTTCAAAATATTTTATAACCGAACTCCGCTCAGAATCATTTTTCGTTCTTAATGGTTAATCATTGGTTACAGGTATAAATTAAATTCCCCTTTATGTCCTACCTCTTCGGCTTCATTACAGTGGCCCACGCGTCTTGCTAACTATATCCGTATTTTTTTAACGTAGGTACTTATGATATTAGCTCCAACGGCCTTCAGAGGGCGTCATAGTAACATTTGCCGTCAACTTTATTGACATAGATAAAATATATGCCTATAAAGTGCCCGATTTAGTGTCCTATAACACTTATAACTCTAAATTAGCAAAATATGCATGCTTTTTTTTTATTTTTGCTCAACAACATGTAGTACAATATGATGACTGCATATAATACTCGTGAATACTTTATGTTTTTCAGTGAAGTACGAAACAAATTTGATTCTTGCTGAGAATGTTCCAATAGTATCTATAATATATGTGAAATATCATAATTTAAAAAACCGCTTAAAAATTTAAATGTCGAAAACAACCCGACGTACTTACACCACGGATCATTTTCTTACCATCTTATCTTATGTTATCTTTGACAATATAGGTTTTATAAAATAAATCAATTGTGTCAAAAAAACAAAAAAAAAAATAAAAGAAACACCGCCAAAAATTTTAAGAAACGCAGTGAAAATTCGGCGATTTCAATGTTTGCACCACCAAAGACATTTTTGAAATAAGGTATAACAGATAATAGTAAAAGGAATATATCGCCAAAAATGAATGAAATGTTGCCTATGATAGATATATAAAACATATAAAAATGAACCATTTATTTTATTGAATAATGAATATAACAATGCTAATAATAATATTTTTACAATATTATATTATCAGTAAGGTTGTGAATTTGTGCATTTTTTTTAGCCTAAACGTAGTTTTTTAAATTGGCAATATGAATTATGTAACAACAAATTCATTTGTGACAATTTTACTCGTAAAGCTGCTCCGGTAACTGAGAACTTTCAGTGCTATTTATAGACATTGGCGTACAGTATTTGTCGTGGCGTTCGGGACTTTTAGAACTCTTTTCCAATAGCATTCCTTAGCTATATCGCTAAAACAGAGACACGATATTATGGGCGCCGAACGTATGACCGATTCGCCCGTCCGTTACCAATGATTTCGGTCTGTTTTCAATACCTGCTGCGCTGTCATTATCGGATTTCGTTTCGCGTAGTATTATGTTCAAATTACTCCCGACTCTCCGAGCCCCGCGGTAATATCACGACCGTGACGCGCAATGCGCACAGCGCACACGTACTACCCGACAATGAAAGCCCCCTCGGTCCGTGATCAGGATCCGAGGATACGCGTATCCTCCACAGGGCGGGACGGTCGCCGTGGTGGCCGCATCGCACGATCGCGCGGTCGCGATAGCCGCCGGAAAGTGCGCACGGTCGCGCCGCAAACCGGTATAATACCCCGGCCATCGCAGGTACGCGATGACGGCAATGATAATAAATCGCGATTCGCGTCCAGCGCGCGGGTACCCATATGCGTGCACAATATTTGCGCGCGGGCGGCCGTGGCGGCCGAAAGTCTGCCGGACGCGTTAACGGCGCGGCGGCCGCGACCGTCAACCTCTTTTGATTGGGCCACCGCCGCCGCACGGTCGGTACTTTCGCGGACGCCGGATGCCGCGCGTCCCTGATCTACGCGCGCTCCGGAATAACGCGCGGCTGCGTGGCGTGCACGTACGCGATATAATCACGCGGATATGATTATACAGACGTGGGTGCGGCCGCGCCGTTTTACCTTTACGCTTATTATTCGCGAGATATTTCGGGCCGGTCGGGTTATTTATTTTTTTTTTTTATTTGATTCATTATTATTTTCGCTGGCCGAGAATTTTTTTTTTTTTTATATATGCGTTTATTACGTATTATAAGCGCACACGCGAGCGCGTTATAATAAAAAAAAAAAATAATAATAATAAAATAAATAAATAAAACCGCGCGTAACATTCGCCAATTACCGGCGGCGGCCCGGTTTAATTGCATTCGACGGTCGGGGTTTTTTATTATTTTTTTTTTTGTCGCCGCCGCGCGGTGGCGGTTACCAACGACGACGGCATCGTCAACAGCAACGACGTTTAGCATTGACCCCGTCGTCGTCGAACCCCGTGCGGCGCGCGGAAACTCGTCAACCTCGCGGTCACCGACGCCGCCGTTATTTCATGTACGTATAATATTATTAATGCGCGCGTTACGTACGGGTTCGTACGTTGTTTTTTTTTCTCTCTCTCTCTCTCTCTCTCTCTGTCCTTTATTAACGCACCTCGAGTGCGCGCGAGTATTTTATTATTGTTATTATTTATTTTACGCGGGAATTATGTCGCGGTACCTACGGGTACGCAGCTTAACAACGCGTACCGCGGATCGAGATTCCGCGGCCGCCCGCCGTACCGGTCGCCTTGACAAGGACGCGGCCGCTGCAAACGTCGCGTGCGCACGCCGTGCCGCGGTATCCGTCGCTCGTGTCGGTGTCGCGCCGTGATAGCCGGCCGGGCCGCCCGCGAAGCGTATAATCACAATAACAATGATAATAACAATAATTAAACCTACCGTCGGACGTTGTGCGTTCAGCGTTCAAGCGTCGCGGCGTTCGCGTCCGCCGTGAGACTCCGAGGCGCGGCTCATAAACGTCGTCAACGGCCTCAACCGAGGACCTGCGCCGGTGACCAATAGCTCAGGCTCTTCCGTTTTTTTTTTTTTTGTTGTCCGTCCGCGGACCGGTCTGCCACCGCGACCGGGATTTCCCGAAGGGGGCGTCACGTGTGTACATCGGGGGAAAAAAAACGCGTTTTTTAACCCGTTCATTAAATTACTTGAACACGGCTTTATGGGCGGGGGGGAGGGGGTGTTGTGTCCACACACACAAAACACCCTCCCGGCCGCGCCGCTGATTGCAACTCCGTCTCATCATTCTCGTGCCCCTTTACGTATACACTCTGCCTCCCTATCCGGTTATACCGTTACCGGTATGGCCCGATACCGTTTGCTCTCCGTATACGTCCTGACCACTACAGTCTTTTACGTATCGTATAAATGTCAGTACGTCGGGTTTCCCACGTAGTGACTTAGACAGTACTGCAGCTCTTCGTAAATGATTATTAACAATATAATATTATAATAGAGCGCTAGAATAATTTTTTTTAGAGGTTCTTTTCGGCAAAAACTACAAACGCCCGTAAAAAGCGGTGTCGGCCCGTCCCGTAACATTCTATTATAATATAATATTGTTTGGCCGCATGTAATTTGCGCCACATCTAAATATTAACTTTGGCGATTCGCGCCATTTTAAAATAGCTAAACAATTTTTTTTTAAAACCGAATTAACATATTGTATTTTTAATCATTGATCAATCAAGTTTATTAAATAGTTAATATAATTTCGGTTGGTAATAAAACAGAAAAAAAAAATCAATAATATTATCATTATAATTAAATGTAGGTATATAAGTATACATACATTATGTATAATTTGTATTAGATTAAACTTTGATTAGACGTAATCGATTTTATCTCTATTTATTATTAGTAGAACGCAACAATATATTATATTATACCGATGCAATATCAGTAAATTATTATCAGCTGGTAAATTCCAACAATTGAAGTTAAAAAGTGTGGCGCGGATTACATATTTCATTTCGTTTTCTGTCCTGGCGCAAATTAACAAAATTAATTTTTAAATGTGATTTGAAATACATGTTATATTTATATGTGTTGGCGCAAATTACATACGCACTCAAATATACCTATTGGTGGCACAAATTATACGTAATAAAATTGGCGCAAAATACCCTTCTCCTCTTTTTACCAATACCCGACGTTCCGATTTACGGGATCGAAAACCGTGCGTTATAGAAGTTGATATCGGTGTATCGGTTGAAAACCCCGAATGTTTAATGCTTCAATCTTAATTCAGAGATCAGAGATATTTTATATATTATCAGAGCAGATATTTTTCTCAGAAAATAAGAATCGAATATCAGATTTGTAAACAACTGCAGATGCTGCAGCGATTGTTGTAAGTGGGACGTTGGAAAGGTAGGAAGGATATAGACGGGAATTTAATATTTTAATATATATCATCTGTATGACAACGATAAACCAATGTTAACGAAAAAACGATTCTTAGCGGAGTTCGGTTGATGGTGTTGCTTTTTCAACAATATATAATATGCCAAACATACAAATAAAAAATAAACAATAAACAATGTCATATCATGGTAAAATAATTACATATATGCAATGTTTAACATTGTCTTTAATAATATTTGTTGCAAGAATTTTCCTGTTTTCCCTATGTTTTCCCGGCTTTTCTCATTAATTAGGAAAAGTTCTGGGGAAATTAAAAAAAGACCTCACAAAAGTATCTACCCAATCCGATTTCCTTTCAGAAAAAATGCTACTATTGTAAATTGAAGAAAATTGTCTGGTAGAAAAGTTATTCACTGTTGCATGTAAGAAGTTAAAAAAGTAGACGGAGAATTTATTGATATCTGTATGCAAATACTAACCATTGCTAATGAAAAACTTTTCTGAGTCAAGTTCGGTTAATAGTGTTGCTTTGTCAACTATACATATTATGTCATATTAAGGTAAAGTAATGGCATATGTATTTTCTTTAATAATATTTGTTTAATATTGCAGTATACCTATTTTACTGTTTTTCCTACATTTTTCCATGTATAGAAGAAAAACATTACAGTAAAACGAAAATATTTCTATATCTTTGCTCTAAATTTATTATCTAACATATTGTATACCAGGCGCCGGAAACTAGAGGCTCGCGTAATATTGTTTTCTGCGGCCACCCGAATATTTCTCACGTGGTATTTAAAATTCTAAATTTTTATCTCAAATTGTAATAAATCAAATTTAAATTTATTTAAAGTATTCGTTTTATGATTTTTATTTTATCAAACAAAATAAATATTTGTACGCTGGAATTGGGTATCACCATTATAAACTGAAAAATGGATTTTAACATTTCATTTTTAACCGATTAAGCAATACTTTATTGAATGAATTAAATACAAAACTGTAAAGTAAACATAAATAAATTACTGTCAAATATGTAATCATTAAACATTTTATTTTTTATTATTAAACTGCCCGAAAGCTTTTATTATAACGATCAAAGATCTTTAACATTATTTTTAAAAGGTGTACAATTGTACATAAATACTTGTGGTGTATCAACATAAAAGAAAAACAACATGTGTGAATCTCACTCGTAGTGAATTGGCCCCAGTCTAAAAATTATATACTAAGTCACGTGGTCTTCGGCGTAAGAGTCGCCTAATGTCTTGAGAGTTGTCGAGTAGTTGAATTGCTGTTGAATTGGTGTGTGACCCAGCTTTTTTTCATGTTTTTAAAATGAAATTAAAATTATTACGCAAACGTGTTAATGAACATGGTTTGGATAATTTCGTATGTTTTACAATATTGTAGTCCAAATTAATTTTAGATTGGGAAAGTATACAAAATAATGTTTGAAATATAATTAAAAACCTGAAAAATTAATTTTCTGGCTTCTAAGTACACGAGAAATAAGACGGACTACGACGCGCGTAGACGAAGTGAGAAGTTGGGAAATTTAATGTATATCTGCAAGCAATGATAAACAATTGCTAACGAAGAAACGATTCTGAGCGGAGTTCAGTTGTTAGTGTTGCTTTGTCATATGCATTATATATTTTCTTTAATAATATTTATTTAATGTTTATTTTTATATTGTATCTATTTTCCCGTTTTTCCTACGTTTTTTCCCAGTTTTCCCTTTTTTACACCATTTATTGGAAAAACTCTTGAGCAAATCAAAAAATTACGTCTTTAAAGTACTACCCCAGTCAGATTTTCTTTCAGAAAAATTGCTATAATTTTAAATCGGAGTAAAATTACTGGTAGACAAGTTGTCCTCAGAAAAAATATATATATATATATAATACTCCACTCAGAATCTAAAAAAATCAAGATATTTAAAGTCCCTTTTTTGTTGATTTTTGTTGTCTATGTTATTAACATAACATGTTTTAAATCTAATTTACAGATGGAAGTTACATCAAAAACTTAAAAAGTAGAATATCTCGTCAACGGATCAAAGGAAATTGAACGTATTAACGGGATTTACGGAACTTTCAAAATAGGTTCCCATTTTTAAATCAAAAGTAGATTTATCCACCAAAAATAATGGCAGTGCAACATATTAGATAGTCAAAAATATTATACACTTTTTACACCCCTAAACACCTCTTCGAAAACGAATATCAAAATTTAATTTTCTATATGCACCGTGTAAGCAGTTATTAATTGGACACGCCTTTCGACGATTTCAATTTTCAAGTATATTTTTAAGTAACCATTTTTACGCTGAGATTTTACTTTTTCACGTTTTTCATAACTCCCCCTACCCCCCTTTTCACGTTGACCAATTTCTGAGCATGCTCCTGCAGTTCGAATCCTTCGCTATTCTAACAGTTTATGCGCAGATATTTCGTATTATTTAAAACGTTCGTTTGTGGACACAAACATGTACCCATAATGACGTGTATTGACGAGCGAGGGGAGACCCCCTTCCTTTCCGGATTTCCGTCACCGGTCGGAATATAATGGGAAAGTGTTGTCGACGTGCCGACTCGAAAACAGAAATCTCTGCGTACGGCCGTTTTTCTCCCGATCCGTAACACGCGTAACCTTGCGCGAATTCAATTAACATTTTATAATACTGTACCATATATATACGTATATGTGCGTGTGTGTGTGCGTGTGTATACACGGTATAGGTATAACATTTTATACTCTGCAGTAATCTGACCCGTACTGTTACCGCACGTGGTAATCACCGTCGTTTAACACAATATATTATTATTATTCTAACTACGCTACCTATAATAATTATTATTGCGCTACGATTATTGTTACATTATTACCGATTATATTATTATTATTATTATTATTATTATTATTATTATTATTATTATTATTATTAC